TACACGTATGTGCGTAATTTCACTGTAAATTTACTTGATTTACCGTTACTTTAATTTTCTTATCAAAAGAAATATATTACGACTTATCGTTGCATTCCAAGCGTAATTTACCTTCTGATAAAGATTATTTATTAATTAAATAAGCCTTTTCTTTCCATTCACACTCCATACTTAATCTCACCACAATCATATTCATCACGTTCATTCTTTTATGCAGTCATTGCAAACTTTTGCCTAATGAATTTAGACCACTGGCTTGGTTCATTTGTCCCTTGAAGTACGAATGATAGAGCGGAGCGTTTGGTATGGAATAATTTAGAATGGCACATCAACCGTTCTTTTAAGATCAATCAGTCGTTGCGTCTTACTAAAGCCGACTAATTTACACAGTTTAAGATTTACAAAATCAGCGTACTTACATGCGCACAAAGAAACGTCGCAGGGCGTTTCACTTAAGCAGTTTAAGACTTACAAAATGGCGTACCTGCCCGCAAAGGGTCCGCAAAGGGTGACGTTTCCCCGGTCGAAGACTTAAAAGAACGTTCCGCGGCCGATGCCACCATTATGTAGGGGTGGAGACTCGAGCCCCGGGTCCTGTGGGTCTGTCGCTATCTCCCCCTTTATCAGCTATCTGCTACTTTACTCTACGTGACTAGTGTTAGGCAGGGACGTCTCCCTTTGTGCCGTTAACCCGTCTGCCACCCGGGCCACTGTCATTCTATATATGCAACTACTGTGGGGCCGTTTTACTCGGGTGGTTCAGTGGTGAATGCTCGCCATTTGGTAGCCACGCGGTTGGTAGCGTGCCGATGGGTATACTAATCTAATATGCACCAAACACTTAGCCACTCAAAGTCAAACTGGCAGGACTATAGTGCCGACTGAAAATGCTCCCGCTCTTTCATTCCTCCTTCTCGTGAAAACCTCCATGAAAGATGCTATCGATTTAGCCCCAATGTATTTACCCCAAAATAGTAATGGACTGCCATGAGAAAATAAACACATCAATAAGGCCGCCAAAATAACGCGCAAAACTACCCTATCATACCCTAACGCATTCGCCATAAAAGGTTAACCGCCTCCCCTTGCTCCAAACCTATCTATAGGAAGACCTTTGAGCCCGCATCTTCCCAGTGCCCAGGGACCGTACCTTGAGACCAAGCCAGCAGCGGTGATTCGTCGGAGGGGCCTCGGAGCAGCGCACTCAGCAGCGAACTGGCACCGAAGACCCCGCTTCACTCTCATTCACCGCTTTTGTACTCGGCCCGAGGCGGTAGTGCGTTCTAAAAACAGGCATGAGGCAAAGGCCATGTCCTTCGAACGCACCTGGCACCCAGGCACTAACGCACCGCCAGTCACCGTCCCCCCGACACACGCATGAACGGCCAGTCTATTCTGACCGTCTACAATTTGGTGACCTGACGGTTTTCAAACTACGGGCGCAAAACAATGCCGCAAATTTAGACGACGAAGACCTTACAATCGACGCCCAGCTCAACGTCGAAGGCGCCCTGATACGCGGCACTGCTATCTGTGAAGGTGCCCAGGTTGCTGCCGCTCGAATTTTGGTCGCCTACTTAACAAAACCTCCGTTGGTGCCATCTCAGTTTCCTCGAGGTCAGGCAACCTTCACACACCGTTGGCTACCTTGGCTGGCCGGCGACTCGTTCCCCTCGTGGCGACGCTCTTAACATCCAGTCAAAAGTTGGAGTGGCTGGCGCCCCCAGTGGGGGCCGAGGAAGGGGCAGTGGGCCTCCACGTTGCTCTCTCCCCGAGCCTATGGTGACTTGGCTCAACTCTCCTCAATAGAATATGGATTCTGCACGCTGTATTAACATGGGCGTAGACACCACTACGGACAATACGGACAGTGGGTGTGACAATCAGTAGTGCCATTCATATAGAGGGTGTCATATATGCGCGGAGAGGCAACAGTACAGCTGAGCGGAGAGACAACATTAAAACAACAGTACAGCTGGCGTTGCATGGAGCTGCAGGCAACCGGACAGCGGAGGCTTGCGAAAAATAAACAATTCGTCACTTCAACGTATAAACAATAGTATAAAAAGCAACATAAACACATATTCTCATGGTCGAACCCATGCACTAGCGGCTCACGGCGGGCACAGGCAGCAGTGCGGTAGCGGTACCGGATCACACGTCATGGGCGTTGTCTCAGCATAGGTTGTTATGAGCGGAGAGGCAACGGTACAGCTGAGCGGAGAGACAACATTAAAACAACAGTACAGCTGGCGTTGCATGGAGCTGCAGGCAACCGGACAGCGGAGGCTTGCGAAAAATAAACAATTCGTCACTTCAACGTATAAACAATAGTATAAAAAGCAACATAAACACATATTCTCATGGTCGAACCCATGCACTAGCGGCTCACGGCGGGCACAGGCAGCAGTGCGGTAGCGGTACCGGATCACACGTCATGGGCGTTGTCTCAGCATAGGTTGTTATGAGCGGAGAGGCAACGGTACAGCTGAGCGGAGAGACAACATTAAAACAACAGTACAGCTGGCGTTGCATGGAGCTGCAGGCAACTGGACAGCGGAGGCTTGCGAAAAATAAACAATTCGTCACTTCAACGTATAAACAATAGTAAAAGCAACATAAACACATATTCCCATGGTCGAACCCATGCACTAGCGGCTCACGGCGGGCACAGGCACGCAGTGCGGTAGCGGTATCGGATCACACGTCATGGGCGTTGTCTCAGCATAGGTTGTTCGCAATCTAGTTGAAGCCTAAGAAGACGGCCAGTGGGGTCTCACTGCTGCTGAGGCGACCTCGGAGAAGATGCGTCGCCCCTCCTGTCGGCGACCTGCGGTGAGCAGGACTCCAGATAGCTGTCTGGCACGTTGCCGACACTGCCAGACGCTGTCAGCAGGCCTCACTGCTGCAAGTGATGTGCAGAGGGACGCCAGGTGACTTCGTCTGCAGGCGATTCCGGAGACCGCGGCCTCACCAGGCAGCACCACCTGCATCGCCATGTCGGTGTTTCTAGAAATGGAAAAATAACAATATCGGTGAAGGACAAGCAATACAATGAATTCTGTTTTCCTCTCTTGCAGGTATACATAATCTACAATTATCATTGTTCCTATTTCATTCAACTGAACCTGAAAATTCCATATTGGCACATTGTTTGACTAAATTTGTGTAGTTGGGAACAGGGGCGACGCCACGGTGCGACGACTGGAGGGGACATTGACCATTTTGGAGGGGACAAGGACCATTTCAAGTCGATTCTTTCCATGCAACGCCATAGGCGTAATGTTAAAATTTTAAAAAGTGGAGGGGACGAGATCCCCTCCGTCCCCACCCCCTGTGGCGACACCCTCGGTTGGGAAGCAGATTGTTTGAAATACATGTTTGGCTGAACAGTGCGGAAAATATTTCATTGATCACTATAGCTGCAACAAAAATACTGACAGAAAACATTTGCGCTTACCTGGCTCCTTAGTCAGTCCCGCACAACGGAAGTGGTACCATTTATCGCAGCCGTCGCATCCGACCATCGGTGCTGCACTGATGCTGCTGCACTCCCCACATTCCCAGTACCTTAGGAGCGTCTTGGCTGTGAAAAGATTACATGAGTCATGGCGCATACATGAATAGTAAGATGTTTTATATGTTTGACATCGCATAGCAAAGACACAACAGCTGGGAGTCAAGTGTAAGCCAAAGTGTAAGCCCTGCCATGTTTTGCAGACTGGATTTTAAGCAAGAAAAGCGTTGCTAAAAATGACGCTTGACGAAGCCTCATCCTACTAGGCTGTATGACATGTCTCCCTGTAAAAAGCATGTGGCCCTTATATTGTATATGATGAATATGTTAATAATGCAGAGAAAACACAGTATAAATTATACCCAACGTTTCATCTTAATCGACTTTGTCAAGGGTGTTTGAACAGCTTGAGATGAGTGAAGTGTAAGGGTGTAAGGGTACCTAGGTACATCTGAAAATAAACTGAATCTGCGTTCAATAAACATTGATTTTGATAATACATTTCACAAAACAACTGCTAATAACAATCATACTAAAATAGCACGACAGATAACTAACAATCTCAAGAAGAACTTCTTGATTCGCCTTTCGACATTGTCGTCCGAACGAATGTTGTGAAGTTACACATTTGTCTTTTCTGCGCAGCATTTGTGTTTGCCATTTACCGCACCAATGTTCGCCAGCGGTGGTGACTTTTCCTTACCTGCTCACGAAACGTCACACACGACATGACGTCACCCGAAGACGTCATCAAAAAGTCCAGCTCTTAGGCGTGCCCACATTTTTCTACCTTTTAAAAGAAAAATCTCACCGTCATGGGCCTTTTTACAACCGTAACGATTCATTTGAAGTCAAAAGTGTACCCAAATGAATCAAAAAATTGATTCCATGCCCATATTTGGTCATGGCTCCTCCCATCAGAATCAAATTATTGATGCCTCCATATTTTGATTCCAAAAGTCTAGTTTGCCCAACTGAAGTGGCACTAGCTCACGACTGAAGTGTGTGACCCTTATACAGTCCACTACAATATCTACACATAACGGTAAGCAGATGCATACAATCGAAAGAGGCAAACAGGTATAAATAATGGTGCCAAGCTTCCCTCATATAGCTGCAAAATTAAAAATATGAATTATACCTACCACCCAGCACCCGCCGACGTCCTTGCACTCATCAATAAAAACAAATCAGCGTGGCGGATGAAGGTGTACGTCTCATTAGGCATTTGTGGCGCGCATAGAAAATAATCACGTGATCCGTCACTATGACAAATGATAATTGGTAATTGAACGCCCAGTTGAGGCAATTGAGTAAAAGTGTTTTTTGTTTCTAGAATGTGTTCATATTTTTTAGTCAAATTAAACATTCACCCCCACCTTTTACTCCCAAAATAGAAGTAATCTTTCGTTTATGTCACGTGATTAATCGGTAGCTAAAACAGAACGTCCAACGGATCAACCACGTGCATCAATTTTGGTGTGAAATGTGCATGGCTGGATCCACTTCAACTTGTGTAAACTGTGTGTGGTTCAATCCACAACCCATTTTTACAGCTAAAAAATCAAGGCCAACTTTTGATTAAACGGTCAGCGACTTCATTCAAACTCGGTGTACGATTAGGATACTAATACTACAAAGTGAATTGATGGTAGTGTGCTAACTGCTTCATGGTGTGTGTGGCTATTCACGTGTGCATATGCACATCCCATTGTTACATCTCAAATGAGCACCCTGATTGCAATGAAATTCGATTTCTGATTCTGGAATTACAAAGAGTATGGATGGTGAGCTTCAGATTTCACATGTGCACGTGCCTGCACTCGGCTTGCCCCTGCCTTGCTGAGGTGCGAGAGCAGAGTGTGCACATCTGCATGTGAGCATGTGCAGGGCTACAATTTTCTCAGTTCATAGATCACCCTTTAGTAGGTTTTGGGAGCGCACTTTACAGCGATCATCCAACTCGGTCCTTTATCCCAAGATGCAACCTTGAGCCTTACTCCAAAAAGTGGCCTATTTTTCGAATCAAATCCAAGTTTCCAATGCATGTAGTTCATGTTATCTATATAGGTACCTACCTATATATTTATCTTACTGATGCCCATCAGTCATCAGTGGCATCAGTTGTGTTCCAGTGTGTGATCATGATGAGTCTGTGGGGTGGGATTGTTCATGTTTTTGAGTGAATCTTAACTTTATTAACCTTTTATTTTGTTTTACTTTGGGCCCTAGAGAAGACATATCAGTCTTGATCTAGGTATCAAATAACTATCAGCAAGGCGGCCTTGTGATTGGCATATTGACATATGTACCTATTGTGGTTCACAGGACCAAGATCACCAACTTCAGCCTTGCAATACCTGTTCAGGCTGTGTTCATTGTGGCCATTGGTGGTTTTTTTTTTGTTGATTTTGAGTTGTGTTAGGTATACATTTCGATTAAAAGATGTATGGTAATCAAGAGAAGGAATTGCTGTGGATTCGACATGCTGACTCTTCAGGGGCTGGTTGTGATCCAGGTAAGCTCTTACCTACATTCCTGCCCAATCGGTCAACTCAGAACTGATTGTAGAACAGATCTGTATGGAAGAAATTTTTATGGGTTTTCAGCATAAATTTTGATTGATATAGGTAGGCATAACAAATCTTATCAAAGCTTGTCAAGGCTGGTGAATGGTGATCTTTAACCAAGCCAAGCCAGTTGTTGATCAGCCTGAACCTGAAATGATAAATGTTAAGTTCTTGTGGAAGCTATTCAACAATTTGTTTAAAATTTAGTGGACAGACCTTGTCTGGATGAGAATAAGTAGTGATGAATTGAAAGTTGATGTACTTACTCCAGTACCTACTTATCCTGATGAGGAATCTTATCTAGTTTCTTTATATTATCTACTTGATTAATGATTTAGCACTGCCAAGTTTTCAGCAGATTGGGTATCTCACTTTGATGTGCCTGTGTCTTTTTTCCAGGATCCAGTGCATTTAATCAAGTCCTGAATGGCAACTTCATTGAAGCACTGAAGTCTGGGGACATCTGGAGGGTGCTGAGTCTGGATTCAGAAGAGCTGTGGACCTCCTGGGATTTAGAGGCTATTGCTGCTCATATATCAGCTTCGCTTGATGGCAACAGCAACAATGCCAGGTAAGTTGCATTGGAACCTCCCCCTAGCTGTTTGCTGTTTTGCCCCTAATTGAGCTAGTAACTCGCGGGAAAAAATGAGCACGTGCGCCGATATGAGACGCAGCGAATGGTACCCGATTTTGATATTTCAGGTCAACCAGTGACCGCTGAGGTCAGTTCAAGTGTTCTAAGGTAGGGTTTTTTTTTTTGCTGAGTAAGTTCTTCCGAAAAGATCGCCGAGCCGCGATTTTTGTACCACCGTGTTCGTTATGCTCAGGCGTGTCGAATGACTTGTATTTTTTATTTGGATGAGGTCATCTATGGGTGTTGACATCAGGTCAAGATCAGGTCAGAGCTCCTAGTTAGGTCACGAATTTGGTCGAGGGTTGTGATATTGGATATCATTCGATTCGACAGGTCTCCTGAAGTACAGTCTATTGACAGTAGCGCGCATCGGTGCGTCGGATCCATCAAGCTCAACCGAAGGAAGGCTGCTAAAATTGAGAGACTGTATCATTTGACTCCCAAGTGAGTCCCCTGCAGGTCATTTGGTTCAGTGCTCTCAATTTTAGCAGCCTACCTTCGGTTGGGCTTGATGGATCCGACACACTGATGCTCACTACTTTCAAGAGAGACTGTACATCGGTAGCTTTTCCGACTCGCTAGCTCAATTCAATCGGAAGTTATTGACAAAAACTCCGATGACCTTTGTGACGTCATAAATAACGTCGCGGAGTAGGAGTCGATTTTGGAAACCGGAGTCGGAGTCAGAGTCGCCGAAAATCCATTGACGTTTTATGGGCGCCAATGACCACTGTAGTCCGGGCGCCCAAAAACCCCAATTCATCATCATCATCATCTGCAGCCCAGGGAATGATGACACCAATCACAATATGTTCTCCAGTTTGCTTTGCAATATTTTATCGACGTTGCCCTTCTCACTCACAAGTCACAATCGTGTTTTTTTCAGTGACAGTCTGCTGCTATCCGGCGTGGCTGCCTTGTGTCTGTTTGCCCAGGCCAACTGGACCGGACCCCCTTTGGAGGAGGAAGGTGTGTCTGTCCTCGGGAGCGCCAAGGATGAGCACAGAACAAGGTAGGTGCCGTGGCTGAAAGTCTTAGAGTTGCAGCACGAGCCCTACAGCTGTTTTTCTGCCTGGATTTCTTAGCACACGTCTAGCTGAAACTTTCGGTACATTTTTTTATTGAATTTATTTGATTATTTGAACACGAAGCTGAGTATGCGCAAAGCGAATTAACGTTCATTGTGCTCGAATAGGCTAATTACGTACGCCGTTTTACTGATCGTGACATACCCCGTCCCAAATGACGTCTCTCCCACCCTCTCTCTCTCTCTCTCTCTCTCTCTCTCTCTCTCTCTCTCTCTCTCTCTCTCTCTCTCTCTCTCTCTCTCTCTCTCTCTCTCTCTCTCTCCACCATTAGATGTATGGCCCATTTAGCCGTGGATGCTTGTGACATCCATCAGATGACTCGGTGGCCGCAAGCTCTGGCCATTGCCAGGGTCGTGTTCGAAGGCTGTCAGCATCTTCTCAGCTCCTTGCCGGTACGTACTCGGCGATATAATGTTATTCTAATGGACGCAGCTGAATCAACATTTAGTTTTGATATTTGAACATCGATATTTTGAGACTGGTCAATTTGTATCGAACGGAATGATTGAATTCGCGACTTATTTGAAGCATTTTCTTTCCTTACTGGAGGGCAGAGATTGACCACCGTCTTATTTGGAGATTTAACGCTACGCTTTGATGCTAAATGTCTGATTGTGTCTGATTGTGCTTGTGTCTGATGACTGATGAGTGTATGTACCTGAATGCTGAAGAGCCTCTGTCGCGATGCGTGTTAACCTTGGCGTTGACGAAGTCCTTGTGCCTGCAGTCGTTCCAGCTGTGGCGGGTCCGGTACTGCTTGCTCTACCAGCAGGTCCTGGAGGAGACTTCGCCGCATCTGTTCAACCTGTTCCTGAAGGATATCGAACTGTCTTCAGAAACACAGGCTCTGCTAAAAACATCCACTCAGGTAACTTGGCACTGCCGACACTTATTTGTGGTTTCATTCAAATTCACGAGTACTGCTTTTGGTTTTGGTTTATCCAGTTAAACAAGAGGGTAAATAAATACCTGTTATCATTTATCCCAATCATCTATAAATGACAACAGATTGACTTTTTGTTGAATATTTCAGTTGACGGTGGAGCACTACCTCACGGTAGCGAACATGTACAACTACTACCACTACGTCACAGAGGCCGACAAGTACATCACCAAGGCACAGCACGCGCTCAACATCAAGCTGGAGATGGTCGGTAAGTGACAACACGTTTCAGAGGCTTCTGAAAAAATCTTTGAACGTGAATTAAATTAGTGGGTTTGTCTGTTACGAAAGCTCTTCTAGGGACTGGTTAAATCCTGGGTTAAATGACTACAATGGGGCTAGTTTGTTTGTCAACGTTACCCTCGCTTGCTTCTTATTCGCTTATTAGACTTTCCTGTAAGTCACGAGCGTCATTTCTCTTCTACTATTTGCATCACGCTCCTTGCAAGCTGTCTGCTGCTCAGTGACACTGTGTTTCGTTTCCGCGTCTCCAGGCATGCTCGGCCGGCGGACCCACTTCCAGGAATCACGCGCTCAACTAGCGCTGCGAGTGAGTGACGTGGACTCGCCGAGCCCGACAGCCGCCTCCCCTGGGGAGCAGGGAGAGGACGAACGCCCGGGGGACGGTGAGAAGACCTCAGGCCGGCCGGCGGAGCGGGAGCGGCCGGCGGAGGACCCCTCCGGGCCGCCCGCGTGTCCCCGGCTGCCCACCGATGTGAAACTGAACGACGACACGCGACTGGAGCGAGTGCAGTATGACGAGCCGTCAGCCGAGACGGAGGCGTCGCCACTCCGGCAGGCAGTCATACTGGCCACCTAGTGAGTACAGGAGGAATGGTACTGGTCGTGCTGACATTTGATGCGAGGATGAACACTGGACAGACTGTAATACAATTCTTAACAGGTTTCAGGTATTCAGGCTGGTTTGTAAGTTCTCGCACTAAAATGCTACTTTTCAGGGTGAATTGACGATAAAGCAATTGAGTACCGTATTGACTGTGTATAACAGGCAAAAGATTAAGAAGTACTCCACTGTTGACTCCACTGATGGCTGACTGACCGTCCAAACGCGTCTGGAAGTGACGCATCGATCCTTTGAACCGTAACGCTCTGACACCGTTGCCTGTGTGCCCCCAGTTTCCAGAATCTGCGGGCGCAGGGTCGCAGTGAGATCCGTGACGAGCAGCTGCTGGTGACAATCAGCGCGCTCACCCACCAGCCGTTGGTCTGGGCCGTGCAGCTGTCCGCGCTGCTGCAGGTAAGCAGCCGCTGCTTGTCGTAGGACGATATATTCAAATCGGACGAATTATGTGACAAGACTTCTCCGGCATAATGCTGGGTAGTATGACATAAAATTGCTTTATCCATTTTCAAACGTTTCGACTTTATTCAAAGTCATCTTCAGTGTTAAGATAGACAAGTACACAACCAGTAAAACGCCTTTTGGGGCGACCAACGGAGCGAGCGAGAGGATGGGCCTTGCACGTGCGAAATTGCGAGGGGGCACCTCCAACTAACTTGTGCACTGCACCCTACTAACCGGTCTTTAGCGATGTGCCAAATTTCAGCGCAATCGGCCTAGCCGTTCTTGAGATCTGGAAGCGGCACACTGCACGTGCGCACGTGCAAGCGGGGTCCAAACTGACTTTTGCACGGCACCCTACTAACTGGTCCCCAACCGTGTACCAAATTTGAGCGCAATCGGCCCAGCCGTTCTCGAGATCTGGGAGCGCCCCCTGCACGTGCGCACGTGCTGTAGCACCCCAACCTTAACACATGCAGATGAATTATCTGATGGAGACCTAACTGTGTCCCGAGTTTCAATTCAATCGGCCCAACCGTTGTGCCGTTATTGAGGTTGCAATTTTGGGGGTTCTTAAAAAATGTCCAACTTTACCACGCGCCACGTGCGGTGGTTGGGAAGAACGCATGGTGGTCATCACACCACAGAACTTTTACGTCCAAGTGACATTCAGTAAAGAAGACCGCTTGTCAATCGGATGTCCCGTTCCTAAGATATTAGCTTTTGAAGAGCGTCCCCACGGCCGGCCGGCCGCTCATACTCAGGATTTTCCCTTAATTCAGTATGAGACTCCGCTCGCTTCGCTCGCTCCGTAATTACATGCTGACATAAATATACAAGCAGTCGATGCAGGGTATCAGTCGATGCACATCACACACTTCACAAAAACAAGACATAAAACATCATTCGTGTTGGTTCGGTCGTCTTCCTACAGAACTGATACCCTGATACCCTGCATCGACTGCTTGTATATTTATGTCAGCATGTAATTGTGTACTTGTCTATCTTAACACTGAAGATGACTTTGAATAAAGTCGAAACGTTTGAAAATGGATAAAGCAATTTTATGTCATATTATCAGATTTCTATTAATGCTGGGTAGTTATCGCGCTTCAAATAAAAAAGTATAGGGCCGCAGTGGAATCAGCCGTCAGAGATAGAAGCCGAAGCGGGAAGCACTTGCATCAAGTTACGCAGTCTATGCTTTTGCTATCTAATTGTGATGGACCGGACATGGCACAGCTAGGTCCGGCATAATATCCCATTCCGTCAAGGAATGAATGCCATCTTTGCAGCTGTTCTCCATCCATGTGTTTACTGTACCATGATCAACTTTACCATCCTCTGCCCGGTGTTTTCGACCCTCAGCGGAGCCGACTGGAGTCGGAGCACCGGCGGACGGTGGAGCGCGCCATGCTCCAGGTGGAGGCCCTGGGGGAGGATGTCTCCAGGCCGGAGCCGGCGGTGACGCACAGACTGCAGCTCTTCTTCAGCACACGGGTCCCCACGCACTGGGAGCTGATGGTCAGAGCCATATGATGTGTTTAGAGGAATTGAAATGTGTGGTTTCGGTGAAAGGGAAACTTCTCCCACTATGAACATTTCCATTGTCAAATAATGTTTATTAAGAAAGAGAGAATCGTCAAATTTGTTGTATCAGACATATTATAAGTCGTCATTGTATCAGCCATTGTAAATTTTGGTAGAACCATGCATTGCACAAAGTGTAAGCCAGTGTCAGTTCTCTTTACATAGTCATGGTTCAGTAGATTCGGTGCCTTTTTTCCGCGCGAGAATAACTTTATCCTTTAGCCACACCGGAATGATGCTTTCCGAGTAAGTGATCACTTTGATATGGCTTCCGCAAGTCCAGAACAACTAACCAACTAACCCCTCCGTGATGCCCTCCAACCACAGCGTGAGCTGGCCGAGCGCTACATGGCGATGGGCGTCACCAAGTCGGCGCTGGACGTGTTCGAGCGGTACCAGCTGTGGGAGGAGGCCATCCGCTGCTACCACCTGCTCCAGCAGCGACAGCGGGTGAGTGCGGGGCTAGTGGAGCGGCTATTTGAGGATGCCTGAGACTCTGGGTGGGAGCTGGGTGAGAAGATGTAACTGAAAACACTACTCATTGCCTGGTACACGGCTTTACGTGGTTGTCAGTTGGTAGAAGCTCAATGAGATATTGTTTTTGTATATGTAGGCAGCAGCTACCAAAATCGAGTTTGTTTTGACTTGATATAGCTTAGTGACGGGATGGATCAGAGGTGCCAGGACATTGAATGACGAATCATCAGGGCTGCAGGCTTAAGAAGGAGTTCGGTGAGGGGCCTCATATGTTTTTTTTTCTCTTGTATCGTACTTGTACCTCGAACCATAAAGAATCATCAAGCATCTCGACCATCTCAAAATAGTAGGTACTTTTTTAAAGTGTGGTTTTGACAAATGCATAAACGCACTTCTGGGCGATGCTCTGGTTGAGTGCATCACCAGGACGGGGTCACATCGCGTGGATTTGAGTGTCACCATAAACCATTCCGTCCTCCCGCCACCAGGCAGCAGAAGTGGTCCGGGAGCAGATAGCCGCGCACGGTGAGACGCCCAAGCTGCTCTGTCTACTGGGTGACGCCACAGACGACGTCTCGTGCTATCAGAGGGCCTGGCAGATGTCCGGGGAGAAGTACGTGCGCGCCGTCCGCTCCGAGGGATTCTACTACTACCACAGAAAACAGGTGGGAAGCTGTGATGTGATGGCTGGCAAAAGCTGGTGGTGCTTAGCGGGCGCTGACTGCTACACAGCATATACTGGTACTGTCTGGTGTGAGGCTAGTGTCGAAATAGTGCGATGGATAGCTATTGATACTGCATTGTTGCAGGCGGGCTGTTTACTCGGTGCGTTCCTCGCAGTCTACGTTTAAATTTTGGTACACACTTGTTACTTCTTTTCGCGCCGATGCCCCCAGGCTGCTGTTGTTGTCCACGCGCCCTAAAAACCGAATATTCACATTCCATAATCGCTGGTCACTATGTGGAATGTGACCAATGGCGTTATACGAATGTTCACCAACCCTGACTATCATCCCCCCACTGTCTCGTATTCGACAGTACGAGAAGTGCCTGCCGCTGCTCAGTAAGGCGGTGGAGCGCAACTCGCTACAGTTTGACGTGTGGACCCGGCTGGCGTTCGCCGCACTGCAGACGGAGGACTGGAAGACGTGTGCCAACGCCTACCGGCGCTGCTGCTACCTGGAGCCGGACGTGAGTGGGAGTTGCGAACCGAGCCACTTAGCGGCTGACTGGCTGATAGTTGACCCCGTCCTAATGTTGTGACTTGGCTAGAAGGTGTGATGAGGTGACTGTATCGATTCAATTGACAGACATAGTTACAATGACGATGGAAAAGATCATTACTTTCGACCAACCAATATAGCTCGTGTAAACGGTGGAAGGTGAATGCCAGAAATGTTCAAGTTTGTTATTGGTTGAACTTCAGAAAAGTGCAGTTATAGATGTAGGCATTAAAAAGAAAAATGGAAGAAGTTGCGTTGTCAAATTTTCGTTTGGGTCTCTAATTAGGTTTGATTCCATCTCATTTAGAACTACGAGGCGTGGAACAACATCGCGCACGCCTACATCCGCCTGGGCCAGAAGGAGCGCGCGTGGAAGACGCTTCAGGAGGCGCTCCGCTTCAGCTTCGACAACTGGAAGATCTGGGACAACTTCCTGGTCGTGAGCCTCGACATCGGCGAGTTCGAGGAGGTGAGGACGTGCGCCAAGTGTTGAATGCGTCTTTAGAATCATGAACGTTCGGATGCCGATTGTAAAGAGTGGAACATTTGTAGCGTATAGGTACCAAATATAAGCTTTGCTTTTGCGATACACTACTCTTGCTCTTACAGCCGTGATGTTTTTTTATTATTGAATTTTGTATATTTGTATTCATCCAGTAGGTTATCCGGGCTCTAACGTGCCATTTCCGCCAATTAGTTCCTGGTCGTCAATATTCATTAATTGCCATTGTTCTCTCAAAACTGAACGCCTCTTTCCACCTACCTTGGCCTCTCGGTAACCGGACAAAAAGTCAAAAGGAATAAAGTCAAAAGACAAATAGTCAAAAGACAAAAAGTCAAATGCAAAAAGTCAAACGGGATAAAAGTCAAAAAGATAAAAGTCAAAACGGATAAAAGTCAAAAGACAAAAAGTCAAAAGCAAAAAGTCAAAATGTGCAAAAGTCAAAAACGCAAAAAGTCAAATGACAAAAAGTCAAAAATGCAAAAAGTCAAAAATGAAAATTCAAAAAGGATAAAAGTCAAAACGGAAAAAAGTCAAAAGCAAAAAGTCAAAACGTGTAAAAGTCAAAAGACAAAAAGTCAAAAATGCAAAAAGTCAAAAGGATAAAAGTCAAAACGGAAAAAAGTCAAAAGACAAAAAGTCAAAACGAGTAAAAGTCAAAAGACAAAAAAGTCAAAACGGAATAAAGTCAAAAGACAAAAAGTCCAAAGCAAAAAGTCAAAACGGGTAAAAGTCAAAAGATAAAAAGTCAAAAAAATGAAAAAAGTATAAAATAGAAAAGTCGAAGTCAAAGTCTGAAATAAAAAGTCAAAATGATAAAAGTCGAAGCATCGATCTTTTCATCTTTTGAAAAAAATATACAGCGCAACGTACCCTACCCACTGAAGTTGTAAGGAACATGTGAGTACGCGAGGGATTCTGACAGGTACCGGGGTCCGCAGCAGCGGGGCAGGGACGCTGGCTGCGGTGGTGGGGCCCACGCTCACATAATACGCGTTGAGCGCTTCCGGCGTGCACGCTGGCGCAGCAGCAGTGGCACTCTTCCCCGCCCCGATCACCGGCCGCAGCACTGTCCACATCCTCGCCGGTCCTGCCTCACGCAGCTGGTCAGCATAGTATGCCGCGTGGTCACGTCTGATGGCCGCTCGACACTGCCGGTTCACCACCGTATACTCGGCGCGCGGGCCGAGCAGTGCGCGCCTCCGCGCCAGCAGCGCTCGCGTGGCGTCCGTGGTGCGCGGAGCACCGGGCGGCGGCAGCCCCTCCCCCATGGGAGAGGGTGAAAAGCAGTGCCTCCTCTAAGCAGTTTTGACTGGGGGGCCCGATCACGGGCAATGACAAAGGTAACCCCTACCAAAAACGTCTAAGACTAAAAAATGACTAAGGTACACTCGGGGGCAGATTGATGTTCCACCACTCCCTACCCATCGGGCTCCTATGGCTCAGCACTGGCTGCTGTCAGTGTTGCCTGCCGTCAGCACTGCTCAGCACTGACTGCCAGTGCCAGTGCTGCCAGTGCTGCCACTGGCAGCAGCCAGTGCTGAGCCATGGGAGCCCGATAGGTAGGGAGTGGTGGAACATCAATCTGCCCCCGAGTGTACCCCTCAGTGACCAGTTTGGAGGATGACTGCGGGGCTGCAGCTCCCGCAGTTAACATGTTAGAGGAGGCATGGGTGTCGTTTTGTATAGGCATGGTAGGGCCCGAGCCTTACCAATAATTTTGGAAATTTAACATTATGCCTATGGCGTTGCGTGGAAAGAATCGCTTTGAATTGGCAAAAATTTACATTAGAGCCCTACCAATAATTTTCGGAAAGTGTCGCCCCTGAGAGGTTTTTGACTTTAAGGAATTTTGACATTGATCATTTGACTTTTTGTTACGGAGCGAGCGAAGCGAGCGGAGTCTCATAGTGGCGCGTGGTAAAGTTGGACATTTTTTTAAGAACCCCCAAAACTGCAACCTCAATAACGGCACAACGGCTGGGCCGATTGAATTGAAACTCGGTACACAGTTAGGTCTCCATCAGATAATTCATCTGCATGTGTTAAGGTTGGGGTGCTGCTGCACGTGCGCACGTGCAGGGGTCGTTTCCAGATCTCGAGAACGGCTGGACCGATGGCGCTCAAATTTGGTACACGGTTAGGGACCAGTTAGTAGGGTGCCGTGCACAAGTCAGTTGGGACCCATTTTGCACGTGCGCACGTGCAGGGTGCCGCTTCCAGATCTCGAGAACGGCTGGGCCGATTGTGCTCAAATTTGGCACATCACTAGAGACCGGTTAGTAGGGTGCCGTGCACTAGTCAGTTGGAGGTACCCCCTCGAAATTTCGCACGTGCAAGGCCCACCCTCTCGCTCGCTCCGTTAGTCGCCCCATAAGGCGTTATACTGGTCTTATGGTTTTTTTGGATATATGACTTTTTACTTTTGACTTTTTCTTATTTGACTTTTTCCATTTGATTTTTATCATTTTTACGTTTTGCCGTTTCTTCACTTTTTGTCTTTTGACTTTCGCATTTTTTGACTTTTTGCCATTTGACTTTTTGCTTTTGACTTTTTGCGTTTTTGACTTTTCGCCATTTTGACTTTTTGCCATTTGACTTTTTTGCTTTTGACTTTTTGCGTTTTTGACTTTTCGCCATTTTGACTTTTTGCCATTTGACTTTTTGCTTTTGACTTTTTGCGTTTTTGACCTTTTGCCATTTTGACTTTTCGCCATTTGACTTTTTGCTTTTGACTTTTTGCGTTTTTGACTTTTCGCCATTTTGACTTTTTGCCTTTTGACTTTTTGCATTTTTGACTTTTGGACGTTTTGACTTTTTGCCATTTGACTTTTTGTCTTTTGACTTTGATCCGTTTTGACTTTTATCCATTTGACTTTTTTCCATTTGACTTTTATCCATTTTGACTTTTTGCATTTGACTTTTTGTCTTTTGACATTTTGTCTTTTGACTTTTTGTCCTGGAATCTGGCCTCTCTTCCCTCTCCAATCGCCCTCACACTCCCCCTCACTCCACCTCTCGGCCAGGCGATCAGCGCGTACGGCCGCCTGGCGGAGATCCAGGAGCGGCACGTGGACTGCGAGGTGCTCCGGCTGCTGGTGCGGGCTGTACTGAGCGACACGGCTGACCGAAACGGCGTGGGAGCCGGCCGGCTGCTCACCAAACTGACCAAACTGTTTGGACGGCTCACCGCCAAGGTAACAGCAGGGAAGGACTTAGAGCGAATGGAGGTGGTCCGCTATAATTACGTTAACGGTATACATAAATGCCCAAAGGATGTAGGGATGGAAACGCTCAAATCTTGGTTAACTGGTTACTCAGCTAAAGCATGCCACTGACCACCCATTTCAGCTAAGATCTCACCAATCTATTTCCTCCCTATCGTCATATTGACAGATCTTTGTGTGCATTGCTCACCAATAAAATGTTTCAGCTGCGCCATATGTTGTAGTAATCTTATGCGCCATTACCGTCAGGTGACCAACAACTCGGAAGTGTGGTCGCTCTACGGTGACCTGACCGGCGCCGCGGCAGCCTCCGAGGAGGCCCGCTTCCGGAGGATCCAGCACTATCAGAAGGCACACAGCTGCCTGGCGCAAAAGCCGGGCGCAGAAAAACAGCTCAACCTGGCTAAGCAGATGCTGGAAATCGCAGTCAAGGTTGGTGACAGCATTGATAGTTGGTTCAGTTGCAATATTCTCTTATGTGGAAGTCAGATATTTATTATTTCTTCTCGAGTAAGCGATATCAAGATATCCAGTGGTATAAAGTGGTATATGATAAGAAATGACAAAGGAGGCATATTTTGGATAAACTCTGTATTTCATTAATAACGTCGGTATCTTATTCAAGATGGCTTTTGTCATGTTTCACGTTGGTCATTTCGCCACACGGTAGCACCTGGCTTTCATTTCCTCTGCGTATCGCTGACCTCTGTGTTCCGTTGGACAGCTGTCGGAGGCCGCTCTGACCTGGGTGGAGGCCGCCGCGCCGGGATCCGACGTGGCCCGCAGTCTGGCCTCGGTGAAACTGTCAATCCGTGGGACAATCACCAAGGTTAAGGTACGGCGACGTCGGGTCGGCTTAGTGAAGGATACCTACTTATTCTGTTAGAAAACTTTTAAGTGCTTGGGCTCATGAGCATTATATTTGGTGTGCTGTAATAACTATCATAATACTACCTACGCAGAATATAGCCAAATATTATACAATCCGGTTGCATACAGCTCTCCATAACTCTGGTTCAATAACGCCTGTGCCACGTCCCATGAGTTCAGTAACAGCTACATCTGTCCTTAGTCCAGTAGTAACCGTATGTTTCTGTCTGTCCCTGGTTCATCAATCATCATGAAACGACCCCCCCCCCCCCCCTAATGGTTTTGAGTGACGGTGCGTCTCCCCTCCTGCAGACGGCGCAGACTGACAGCTCCGGTCAGGTGCGGGAGGAGCTGCGGCAGCTGTACGCAGACGCCGAGACGGGTCTCCAGCGCGTGCTGGATGCCATCCAGGCCCGCCAGGCCAGCTAGCACCGCGTGAACCATAGGCGTGGGCTGTGGTGTCGGCGTGGGCGTGCCAGTTCAGGAGGCGTGTGGTGTTGTTGGATTGTACGCCGTTGTTTGTTGTATGAAACAAGTGGCATCGTATTTTGATGTTTTTTTATGAACCGTATGTTTTCTCATCATTGTATTACATAAATGGTGATCTATATTTTGTGCTAAATGTGATATATGGGTTGTTATTGGAGGGAAGTGCCGATCACAGAAGCCAGAAATTGAGCTCGCACTATACTGAATTTAAAATTGTTATCAAAGTTATGCTGCCCTAGGTTAACCCGCGACCGCCTGGGGGGGGGGGGTCGGATCCGACCCCCCCTCCGTTTTTCTTGAATAACTCATGAACCACTTTCGCTATCTACTTGAAACTTGGCATACCTTCTCCCCCATCAATTTAACGTCTCCTGTGCAATTTTTAAGAAAAAAAAATTCCAAAATTTTTTGAAATATATCGATTTTAGTGATGTAACTACATGGCGTTTTTAGTCAAAAAGTGGTAAATGTTTAAAAAATCGCCAAAAATCAGGGTTAAAAGCAAATTGCAAATTAAGGACATGAAAAGACGCAGCTCAACGAGTTCTTTAAAATGGCTATCTCGGATTTTCCATAAAATGCGTTTTTCACCCCTAAAAATTCAAAAAACTACATTTTTTGGAAAACAGCTAATAAAATCCAAAATTTTGGGAATTTCCAAAAAAAAACTGAATATATGTTGTAGAGCTCTATTAGAACATTAGATGCCCCAAATTTCAACTTTCTATCTTGATTTTTGACCCCCAAATTGTAAAAAAATAGCTCCAACATGCATAGGGCATGGTGACGTCATAAGCATTTTCGTGAATTAGAGGCACTTCTGAACATCGCATGTGAAAACATATGGCACCACTAGATTTCTGGGACAAAGCTCGTCTAGAAAAGTGTATTTTTATGTCAAAAATAAAAAGTTGAAAAATTGACTTTTTCTTAGCCCTCCTTTAGTTATGTAGGGTATAAACGATTTTTTATGCTTTCAATGCACACTTATCACCAGCACAGTGACTTGGGGTCACATATAACCATTACCATCGGATTCGGCGTGAAAAATAAGCCATAAAACATGTGTCGCACGCCCATGTAGCAGAAATTGAAAACCGTGACCTTTCGTGACCTGACCTGACCTTGACCCGTATTTAGTATGACCCCTATACGCACATGGTACCTTCACTAGGCCTTTGAGGTCATTTTTGGTGAGTTTCGAGCAGCAGCTATCGATTCCGCTGTCCGTAAGCCTAATCATGCAAAACCCCTGAATTTGACCTTTGACCTGACCTTGACCCGAAAGTTGACCTCAATCTTAAAATCTTAAGAGTGCTTTGGGAAGGTCTCGTAGAGACCTTTCGAACGCCGCCTCGCGGAGCTCGATACGACCATTGGTTCTCGAGATAACAGGGGGGGGGGGGGTCGGATCCGACCCCCCCCCCCCCAGGCTGTCGTGGGTACGGAAATAGCCCAGGCGGTGCCGGGTTAATCTCAGACGAGTATAATCTCAGTCTAGTACGAATATCAGGTGTCAGATGTCCCACATAAAGACGCTAACTCAGGGGAGCATATATTTCATTTCATATCAGAATCAGTCGAACCGTATGTGTACCCTGGGCTTCTGTTCCGGCGCAGCGGCCGGCAGTGACCGCCGCTTCTTCTCTGCCGATTGCACCACCACAGCCTCGTCAACATCGTGCGTCATGCCTCTCCAGCTCTGCCCGCCTCCCTTCGCCACGCCCGAGCGCTGCCCCGCCTTGCTGGTTTTCTGCACCGCGTCGCCGCTCTCCGCCTGAGGACACTCGCGAGACATGTGGCCCTGCTTCTTGCAGAGGAAGCACGTCGCGAACGGCAGTCCGACGATCTCCCCCTTCTTGGGACAGTCGGAGAGGCGGTGTCCGGCCTCGCCGCAACGGAAGCAGGCCGTGCCCGCGGCCGGCTCCACTGCCGTCGCGGTGCAGTCGGTCAGTAGGTGGCCGCGTCCCCCGCACTTGGTGCACAGCAGACGCCCAGAAGACTTCACCTTGCGCTCCTCGGCACGGCGGGCCTTCCGTAGCAAGCGGCGCGCCTCGTTTTCAGTTTTGCCGCTGTCGATGAGCTTCTGCCGGAGCGCCTCAAGGCGAGGCACCGCTTCTGCAGAGACCCAGAAGCCGTCGAAGCGTGCCAGCTGTTCGCCTTCCTGCAGAGTGAGACCGCACGCCCGGCCAGGCACGCGCCGGCGCACGCGCGGCGTCTGCTGCGCCTCCAGGAACAGTCTCCGCTCGCGCGCGGCCCGCTCAGTCTTGGTCTGGGCGGCGATCATGCTGAGTTTCAGCTTGCGATGCTCCTTCCGCACTAGCTGCTTCATGCGTCGGTTGACCTTTTCAGCTGGCAGGCCGCGCTTCTCCAGCTCCTCGCGCGCCGACATCAGCCGACCGGTCTCCTCCCGCGGCACCCACATCCCCTCGAACTGAGCCATCGACTCATCGTCCTCCGAGTATTTCAGCTCCACGTTCTCCAGTCGCACGGGCAGCTTGGGTCGACGACGCTTGGGCTCCGGTTTGGACGGCGTGGCCGGGGAGCTTTGACGCATCAGCTTTTCTTTCTTTGCCAGTTGGCGTGCCTTCATTTTCTCAATAGCATCCTTGTTGTATGTCTTCTTTTTCCTCTTTTTCATGGCCCTTTTCTTCTCATCTAGTGAAGGGGCACTTTTCACCAAGTCGTTTGATCCATCTGTTGGCTTATGCTTAGATGTCTTCTGTTTCTTACTGGGGTCTTTAGAAGCTTTTCCAGACATTGCATTGTTTGCCCTCACTTTTTCTTTTTCATGATCTTCACTGCCAACAATCCCTGGATGTTTTGCTACTTTGATTTTCTTGGTGTTTTTAAGCATTATAAATTATAATTCTACCACTGTTTAGGGCTTCTTTGCTTGTCCTTGATTTATTCACCTTAATTCTTACAAACAAAGCAATATATTTCAATTTGGTTGCTCTTGTCTACTGAAAAGGAGATAAAATTGGCTTGTATGAATACAATCACAGCTTTTGAACATAAGACACACTTTAAACACACTAAATATTCAGACAGCCATCAGGATGAAACTACGATCACCAGCACCAGCTAAATTGCCGCATCACCTCAATCGACTTATGACATTCCATAGTAAGACCAGTCCAAGGCTATATAAACCGTCCAAGCCAAGGGTGAATATTTGTACCCATCTCAGTCAAAACTTTATAAAAAAAACAATAATCATCTTGAGCACTCAGGAATTCTAGTCATGATATCATGACAGTCAAGACTTAGAATCAAGAAACTAAGTATGTATGTATTATGTAACTTGTAAGCTGGTGTGGGCCCAGTATCATTATTTAATTCAATGTTGGGGATTGGGACTGCATTTTGGTACATAATTAAAAAACACCAACTCTGAACCCTTTTAGGCAGCTGAATGTCTGGAAAAAATAGATCAATTTGACACTTTCCACTGCAAGGCACCAATTTTTCCAAGACTCCTAAGTCCCATGACAATGAAAATTATCTTATTGTCAGAGCATATCAATATCATATGATATTGATATGATATTGTCATGTGAGGAATCAGGACCATAAATACCGGCCGAGCTAACAAAATTTTAACGGGTAATCTCCATTCACTTCTCTGTTCGCCGATACCAATAGACCTCTCGATGTCCGGCCTCAAAATACCCTTCCAACTTCGAACCCTGAATAATCCCAATGCGTACCTACTACCTACATGTCAACGGAGACCGGAGACCAAGAAAGACGTCTGGTCAAGGCCTTGATATAACCCTGGTGACGTGACGTTATAGCAACTAGCAACAGCAAATCAAATAACAGCTAAATACATCGAAATTGAAATAGGACGCAAATCTCCCCCGCCCTTGCCCACACGTGTTGTTTGCTTGTAGTTTTTTTTTTTTGCAGTGCGCAATTGTAGCGAGCAATTTGTAACTTTCTTTTGCAGACAGGAGATAGCAAATTATAGGGGCTAGAGAAAAAAGGTCTTATTACGAAATTTACGTTCTAGAATCAATATTCAAACATGATCTTGTTATGCCATAGAAATAACTAAAGTATATTTGGATTGTAATATTTATTTTATTGCCAGTTATTACACCATACGGTTCATTTCCCATTGCTTCTTTTTATTAACATAACTACGAAAGATAGCTACGAAATCCCGCAAATTACGCGTAAGTGCAGCGTAAATGTCTCTAGAAATTCACTGGCAATTATGACGCACTTTTGCGCAGTTGATTGCCGTCTGCGCGTCTGCGCCACGTGCTCGTTGTTTGTGGTGTTAGGTGTGTTTTTTGGACAGGCAGCAATATATCCAAGGCGCTATATCAATATAATATATCTATTTAGTATTTATTCGGGCATATTTTGAGTCTGACTCTTCGAGGTAAGTTTGTTGGATGGGTCGTTACTGTATTGACTATTGATAGGCTTTTCTTGGCGGGCGTTGCGTTGGGGGTGTCCCGTGTCGAGGCAAGTTCTGAGTGAGAAATCGGAGAGTGTCGAGTGGAGGTTGACACCCTGACTCGGCAGGGCTTGTGAATCAAATACAATAAATGAGTTATGCATCTTATTAAATGATAATGCTATTAACAAAAATGTCACCCCTGCAGAATGGCTGATACATCGGAAGATAAAATAGAGGTGACCGAGAATGAAGAATGGAAAACAGCAGCCAAAGGTAAAAAGAGGAAGCGGGCCAATACAGAGAAAATGGACGATGAGGCTGCTGAGCAAGGATCAGCCATGGATGTATCTCAACGTCCCTACTTTCCACCAGTAAAGAAGGAGAAGCTGCAGAAAGGCACAGAAGTTCGCAAAATACCAGTACCTGCACACAGGTAAGTCTGCATGACATCATTTGTCATTTTTCGGTATTGAGAGTAGCAGCAGATTGGTGAGCTGAGTGTGTGATGCATCATAATGTTTTTTACCTAGGTATTGAACCTATCAACTCACCTTGTCGGGTTCCATCCACTACCACCAGTCTGCAAGGAAAAGGCTCGATGGCGAATGGATGGAAGGACGGGAGGAACCCTGCTTCATATGGCGCTCCAGTTGCCCATCTCAGAACACATTGTCATGACATACACACACTTAACTGGAGTGTTGTGCCACCATTGAGACTAACATTGACTTCATTGTGCTTTCACAATAGAATAGCAAAGCACAATTAGAGTGTTCATACAACTTACACATACTCAACAAGTCTATCTGGAATAGCTCCTGCTAAGCTAATCTGTGCTTAAATGACTGAAGGTCTGGGGCATTTACAACATCCGCTGGTGGGCTGTTCCAGAGATGCACACAACTGTTTGAAAACGAGCGCTGTCTTATGTCTGTGCTGGCGCGAGCGACGGTGGTTTTAAAGGCGTGGCCTCGAATGCCGGTCTGGGGCTGAGTGAACATGGACTGTGGCATTATGTGACTCTTTCCATGGAAAATCTTCCAGTATTGGATAAGGTCCGCTCTTATCAAGCGTCCCTGAATCGAGTAGTCCTAGTTCACTCAACCTCTCGGCGTAAGTAAGCTCGCGGAGACCTCGTACACGCTTCGTCCATCGCCTCTGAATGCGCTGTAGCTTGCGCATGTCGCCAACATATCCCGTATGCCATAGACACGAGCCTTTTTCAAGAACGGGCCGGATATGGGCTGTGAAGAGAAATATCATTCACATCGTGGATCGGGAGGCAAGACCCTCGCAGGAAGCTGTGGCAAATCCCAGAGGCCATCTGTGATAAGAAATCGACTGTTCGTGAAATTTAAGTGAAGTGTCTACGATCACCCCCAGTCACCGTGTGAAGTGGGTGTGGGTAGACGGCGTCCGTTGAGGGTGTAGTGTGCTCGCGGAGCGTCCCGTCCCCTGGAAAATCGTAGGACGGCACACTTGTCAGTATTGATTCGTAAGCCCCAAGAGAGACGTGTTGTAAAGAGTGGCTATGTCTTATGGTGTCTATGTATCAATATTAGAGTTGTGTGTCGGGGGAGGGGGTTGTGGTGACTGCCAAATTTGGTGTGGAGTTCTCATACACTGGCATGCGGCATATTTGTAATGCAATGTTGAACTGAAGCATAAGCCTGCCCGTACAATATCAATAGACATATATGCGTATACAATAGACGATATAGACTATACAATAGACGCAACATTGTGACATATATGTGTGGTGTACGCAGCACGATTGTAACGCTTCTTTCCAGGATGTCATCTATGTGATGTTACTTCTTCACGAGCGACACACGACAATAATGCAGCTTTGTCAAGTTATGAGTTATCATTGTGCTGACCTGACCTGCCCGCCCCGTTTACCTCAGATACACACCGTTGAAGGAGAACTGGATGAAGATATTCACACCAGTTGTGGAGCAACTGAACCTCCAGATAAGATTCAACCTCAAAATCAGGAACGTGGAAATTCGGGTTAGTGATAAAGTGTAGCTGGATGTGTGTTCCATTTTCCAAGTGTAGTTTATAAAGGCAAAATTAACTATGATAGCATACAAGTTTAGCGACAAATCCTACCTACCACAGGCTGTTTGCTTGTGTTTTGCTCCTACCTATGTTATTTATCAATGTTTTTTCACGAGGCGTCTTTTTGGAGGCTGTGTAACTGGTTAATTTCCTGGAAAATAAATACCAGTGCTGTGAATTTGGTATTTCCCTTTGGGAATCTTTTTGTTTGGCTATGCGTTCAGCAAAAGTGAATACAAGTTTTAGTAGTGTTGCTGTGCTAAAGAACCGGTGCTGATGCCAAAATGCCAGAAGCTTGATATCATGCTTGAGTATTATCTCATCCGACATTAACGATGAAAGTTCTGGCAGGTTGCCTCCAGCCCGGTGACGTTGCAACGACAACAAATATCGTTCGATTACGTTTTTTCATGTAGTAGTATTCAGTTATCGGTCATTTTAACCAATAAGTGTCGCTAGAGGGATATATATTGACCTCATTGTTCCAGACATGTAAGGAGACCACCGACGTATCGAACCTTCAGAAGGCAGCTGACTTTGTGCGCGCCTTCATCCTCGGCTTTGAGGTGGACGACGCCCTGGCGCTTCTCCGTCTCGATGACATCTTCATCGACTCATTCGACATTCAGGACGGTAAGTCAGACATCGATATATTTCCTGTGAGCGACAACATGGGTCATTGTTTTCATCACTTACCTGTTCCCTCTGCCCCACAATTTTAATTCACATGCTAGGTACCTGTGCAATGTGCATCGACTATTCCGTGGTAAGTCGTGAAAGTTTTCGCACTTGTCTCGTGGAAGAAAAGTTGTTCCTGAGGGGCACTGATACATTCCGTGTCCACAGTAAAACAGCTGAAAGGAGATCACCTGTCTCGCGCCATCGGTCGGCTGGCTGGCAAGAACGGCAAGACCAAGTTCACGATCGAGAACCAGACACGGACGCGGATCGTGGTGGCCGATCACCGGGTGCATATTCTGGGCGCCTTCTCCAACACGGCTGCCGCCCGGCGCGCCCTCTGCGAGCTGATCCTCGGTGAGTGGAGAGTGCCCAATGGCTCAGGGTAACGTGCCGTGAATTTGCTTTTTTTTTGGAGTGTGGGCTTATTAACCCTGCAGGTTTGTGTGATGTGGTGCCTCAGTTTTATTGAACAAGGGAAGAAAAGAGAATTACTGTCATATAAGCCTTGTGAAATACTGTTGCTGTGCAGCTGCTCGGATTATTCATTCATGTCACTTACTTTCGTTTCTCTCGTAAAATGCTGTAAATATTGTTACCTGAATATTGTTGAATATTGGTAATGCACCTACAGTCTGCTGGATATGTTTTATTTTCTGTTCCAGGGAGCCCGCCTTCCAAGGTATTCGGTCACATCAGAAATGTGGTTGTGACGTAACATCTCAGCTTCTTCTATCGATGGACATTTTTTTTCTTGTTTCGCCCGATACCGAAAGGAATATTCAACACGAAATGTCGGGCAGCCGGACTGCGCGTCGAGCCGTGCTGGTGTGGTGGCACAATAGAGGAGCTCCAGAATGTGGCCTTCGCCTGGACACGTCAGCATGAGGATCTTTTACTGCCGTGTCGGTGTTACTGGGAATGTGAACGTTATGTCGAAAACGCCGACATTATCCGTTGGGACATCGGGCATATGTTCGTGTGTATGTGCTCATGAGATGATTATGAACATGATTCGAACGTTGAATGTAATACATTAACCATCGGGTCATCTCTCGTGACTGTTGCTGGCGATGCTGTGCTCTGTCAAACACCAAGGCCGTATATTAGGCAAACACCAAGGCCGTATATTAGGCAAACACCATGCGACCCATGCAACTGCTCGCTTGCCTTTTCAAGATATTTTTTATTCCATTTATTTTACATACCCTTAGACGATGTCTTTGCCTATTTGTATCCACAAATAAACACACAAACAACCATAGACATACACACAAACAAACTTCGGTTTGTTTTCAACATCTCCGCAAGCGCCTATTCTTGTCAGAGACTTTCTATGATGTCCCGAAAAAGTCCCGAAAACAAAAATTATCTAGGAAGGTATCTTCGCGTGCGAAATTGTGCTGCCATTTGCAAATGCGCATTTTTACCTTCCTTCTTCCTTGAAAGGCAATCTCGACAATTCGGGCGCCAGGTGGATTTTGTTTGGATTTTGTGGTCGATTGCTCCATTTCAATGTATAGATTGAGCTTCTAAGCTATTTTAATCATTTTATTCAGAATGGAGACAATTAACCGGTTTGTTCCACTAGGTCTTGCACTAGGTGTTCAGCATTCAAGCCGGTCAGATTGCTGATACAGCCTTGGGATTGTGGATAGGTAAGCTGGATAGCATAATAATAAATAATGTAACATGAACATAGGTGAATTTGACAAGCTCAATTTGGATTATGGTGCATAAACCACTATAAAAGTAATCTATTTATTTACTTTTTTAGAAACTCACCTGTTAAACTCACCTGTTAGGTTTCCACAACCTCGGCTCGTAAAGGAAGGAGTGGAAACCTATTGCGTGCAGAGACGCGCCAATTCCTTGGGTGGGCAGATGGCTGGACCTCAGGCAAGGAATTGGAATGGTGCGTCTGCATTTGGTAAAACACTGAAAAAAGAAAACTGGTGCGTGTTTTAAGTGCCAGAATCCTAGACAAGATGATCAATTATGTAAGTGAGAAAAGAGGGTACCGAAATGTGATACGTTCTCGGAAGGAAAGGTCAGGATAGGTAGCCTAGGTTAGTCCACCCGGTCCAGCTCGAGAAGGGCGGGCAGCAGCTACCTAGGGGGTAAGGGCGGAATATGATAGGTAGCCCAGGCGCGTATAACCCCGCCCCAACTTGGGAAGGGTGGGGCGCTTACCTGGGGGGGGGATGAAGGATGAGATGTGAATCGTTTGCCTTCTCTTATCCTGTGTGTTCGAACAATCTACTTCCCAGTGCGGCTTTCAGTCCCTTTTTAAACTGCACCAGGGACTCCTCGTTCACCAGCCAATCTGGGAGGGCATTCCAATCGCGCACGACTCTGTGGGTGAAAAACCGTGACCTTGCATCTATGAGACTCTGACACGTTTTTATCTTTCTACTATGCCCGCGCGTTCTGTTGTCGGCCTCCAGATCCCAGAGGATCTCCGGGGATATCTGACTGTGGCCGTGAAAAATCTTCCAGCATTTGATAATATCGGCTCGAAGGAGGCGTCCCTTCACAGAGAATAGGTCAAGTTCCTTCAGGCGATCACCATATTCCATATTGCGGAGCCCAATCACATTGCGAGTCCAGAGCCTTTGAACAGACTCTAATCTTTTGAGATCCTGTACATAGCCACTGTTCCAGATCGGTGACGCGTACTCGAGAATGGGGCGAATGTGAGATTTCAGTATATGAGTCATAAAGTCAGGCGAGCGACACCTGGTCGATTTCAAGAAATTGTGAGCAACTCCTCCAGCCTTCGCTGCTATGCTGGCACAGTGTTCATGGAATTTCATCTCGTTGTCGATGATAACACCCAGGTCACTACATGACGTAACGCAGGGAATTGTGTCACCAGCCAGTGTGTATGCCCCGGGCTCGAAGTCATGGAATCGTCGCCTAAATCGTATGACAGCACACTTCCTGAGGTTCATGCTGAGACCCCAAGACTCTGCCGTAGAGTGGAGCAAGTCTATATCCTTTTGTAGTGCCTCTTCACTAGTGTTGTGTTTATCGTTGTCTAATTTGATAAATACTTTAAGATCGTCAGCAAAGATCTTATAACTGCACGACAAACTGGACGCAACGTGGTTGATGTAAACCAGAAAGAGAATGGGTCCTAAAACCGATCCTTGAGGAACGCCACTCCGAACCTCCGCAGCTGAGCTCGTGGTGCCCTTAACAAGAACCTGCATCGTACGCCCCACCAAGAAATCTGTCAGCCATGTGATAAGTCGCCCTTGGACACCGACTAACCGGAGTTTTTCTAGCAGAATGGTATGGCGCACCACATCAAAAGCCTTTGAAAAGTCGAACAGGACTAGATCAACGGGATGACCCAGATCCAAGGCTACAGTTACCTCATCGTAGGTCAGGAGTAGCTGGTCTTCCGTGGATCGTCCTGGACGAAAGCCGAACTGTTCGTCACTGAGGATCTGATTTGCAATGAAGAATGCGTAGAGCTCTTTGGAAATTATCCTTTCAAGACTTTTGCAAGATACAGACGTGAGCGATACAGTCGTTACGAGAACCCTTCTTAAATATCGGTACGACGAGCGAAGATTTCCACGCCGAGGGCAGCGCTCCCTCCAGAAGAGACTGCCTGTAAATCATGAGAAGTGGTGTGCATAAAGTTGCAGCACATGCCTTAAGAAGTCAGTGTTCCAGTCAGAATAGGAAGAATAATGCTGGTTTTGTTGTCACCTTCAAGATCTGTTGCCGCAGAAACGGAGCCCAGTTTTACCAACAGAAAAATAGTTGCCTGCCGGAATTTTTGCCTTAAGACCGCTTCACATATGAAGGGTAAACGGAAAAGCCCTATCTGCTTACATGCCCATCACGTTTACACTCCGTATGTGAAGCAGTCTTAAGGCAAAAAATTCAGGCAGGTAGCTATTTTTCTGTTAGTAAAACTGGCCTCAGGAATACTAGGCTAGGTAATTGTGTGGATCAAGGTCTAAGGAGCTTGGGAAGCTGTGTGGATAGTGGATATTGGGTATGTATTTTTGTGATTGTTAACCATTTATACAAGATTGCCCGCTTGCTGTCTTTCATTTACTCATTGGTTGATTTTGCTGCAGTTCACCATTAAAAGGAAGAATCTGAAAACAGGGTGCCTGGGGCAATTTGATCAAGGATCTTGAAATTTGCTTAACCTTATCATGTGCCAATTAGCCTGTTAGGCACAAAGAGGGGGAGAGTATCCCAATGATCATGTGACTAATAACAATAATGTCCTCCATCACCCTGTTTTCAGATTCCACCCAACTAAAGGCCACAAATTGCCAGCAAGGAACTTCTTAGTTCCATGGATCATAGATGGGATAACCAGCATCATGTTGATAAGAAATGGATTACAAAAAGCAATTAAATACACTGGTGCTGGTGCAACATTAATAATAAAATTGTTTAGGTACCTTACTTTACCTACCTTTCAATAGACAAGACAAGACAAGACAAGACAAGACAAAACTTCATTCCAGACCATCTACTGGTCCATGAAAACCCTTCACATCGCAAACACACACACACACACAAACACACATGCTAAAAAGACACATACTGCAGCCATACTAGTAACAGGAATTTTAAAGGCCACTTTGGCCTGTAGGGTCCTGCCACTGATCTCATCAAGCTCCTGAACTAAATGGTAGTTAAGGATGGGGTATTTGACTCTGATTTGGTTCCAGTGATCATCCAACCTGGCCTTGAACTGGTTGAGAGAGGATGCTAGGATCACAGGAGGAAGCACTTTCCAGTCATTCACATCTCTTGTTGCAAATGTGTTGTGCCTACCTTGTATAGGTGCTATTTCTGTATTTCTGTATTTGCGCAAATCACCAACAGGCTTGGCCCAATGACAGGTGAAGTCATATAAGTATATCACACCAAACACACTATAAAAATAATGATCTGTTCTGAGTACAGAAGACTATAGAAGTAAAAGTAAAAGTACCTATAATGTAAAAAAAAGACTATAAAGGCAGAGTGTAAATGACTACGAAGGCATAACAGATAAATAGTACCTACTATAGAACTACATACGATATACATAAACATTAAAACACTGTATAAGATACTGAAAGTACTGAATATCTACCTACCTAAAAATAAAGCATTAGTGATGTATGATGTGCACAAGATAAAAAGCTTAAAACATCACAAACTAATTTTTACACGACAGGAGGAAGGGTTAACACATACAGCACGCTCTGCCTCTTCAACTGACCAAGTGAATCGAAAAATAAGTCTGCTGTTTCAACAGACCCTAGAAAGTGGTTGACAGGCCTTGGTTGACAGTGCGTGGGATGCGCGAGAACAAGCCGGATGATACAGTGTTCACTCGAGCAAACGGCAGACTAAACAATGCTCTGTTCATGGTTCTGGCTTGTCTGATCGGTACCTGTAACCCAAAACACTGTAATGAAAACGACGAAGAGATGAAACCTTTAAACACTTTGGATAAAAACATGACATCATGCTGTGCTCGCCGAGCACCCAAGTGGAGCACACCGTACGATGCCAGTAGATCACAGTAGGCCAGAGAGGCTCCGACATAGCCCGTACGACGCGCAAGCCACATTAAAAACTTATGTTGCACTCTCTCCACATGAACTAGATGGCATCTGGCTGCACCGCCCCATATGATTGAACAGTATTCAAGAATCGATCGGACGTTTGCATTGTAAGCCGCCAGAGCCGCCTGCTTGTCTATCTTGCACCGGGGGGAGGCTGACTGGAAAGTGCGAATGATAAGTCCTAAAGCCCTATTGGCTTTCGAGACAATTGAACCCACATGTTCAGCAAAGTCCAGCTTTTGGTCAAGAATAACTCCTAAATCCCGAATGGATGTGACGTTTTCTAAGGTAATTCCGTTGATTTTGTAGGAAGAGTTAATAAAGTTTCGTTTCAACGTGATTTTGAAAGATTTACATTTTGAAGCATTAAGTACCAGTTTCCAGTCAGCCGCCCATCGTGCTACTGCATCTAAGTCCCTCTGAAGTGCTAGCACATCAGCTGCTGACCTGATCTCGTTGAAAAGTTTGAGGTCGTCAGCAAAAAGCAAACAATTTGTAGATATCACAGTGGGCAGGTTGTTAATAAAAAGAGAATATTTTTGCTGGTATCTATACTCTTGTATAGGTAGTTATCTGTATCATATGACACACAATATGGTCATGGTGTCTACTGTCTACACCAGGAAAGAGTTGCACTTTTACTGGGGTTTATCACAGATACAGATGTTTTGAATTCTGTAAGGTAAACATTGCATGTTATTTATTGCGATCTTGTGTGCATTCCTGAAACCATTCATTAGTGTGGGATGGTGGGGCCTGTCGCCATGGCTGGTGTGACTGTTCAGAGCACTGTGCAGTGTTTTTTGTTGGTCTTGTCATCATGCTGCCAGTTTTTCATGTATGGAAGTTCATTGTAGGTGTGCTTGACCTCTCACAGACCATGTGAATTTGACTATTGAGAGGCCTAGCTATGAATTTGAAAGCCAGCAGGCTGGCAGCCTGCTGCCAGCCTGCTGCCTAAAACAGTGACTGAACCACATCCATTTGGGTCTTGTTCTCCATTTCAGACCTCCTTCAGTTGTGACTCTTAGTAATGTTCCATCCTAAGCTGTGCACTGTGGTGTCATTGTATTTTAGGTAGAAAATGAGACGAGGGAGGCAGTCTGGCAGAGCCAGTACGAGCGCTGCTGCTGCATCCACGGGAAACAGCAGCGATTCTGGAGAGCAATGGGAGCCTCAACCCAGCACTTCACGGGTGAGCTTACTACCTACCTAAATATCTCTGGTCTATAAGTCAAGCTATGTAGTTGAACATCCTACATTTCATCCAATGTGGTGCTTCAATAGATTCAAGGCAGGTAAAACACATGATTTGCCTCCAGTTCAAATACTTAAGCTGTATTTCAGACTGGAATAAGTTCCAAACAATGGATGATTTACTTTTATGCAAGTAAGCATATTCTCTCAGATGACGATGCAATTTTGATAGAAATAACATACTGCAGTCACTCCACATATCCCCTGACATGCCATGCCCGCTCAATATCCCATCGACTCCCGTGCCAGGCGGGCGTCATCGCCCCCGATGACGAGGCCAGCTCTGACGGCGTCGGCGCCGACTACCAGCTCATGTCCCCGCGGCCCTCCTCGGCTGTGTACTCGCCGTCCGGAGGATACGGCTCTCCCTCGGCCGGCGCCGGGTCTGAGGCCGAGCCGCACAGGTGAGCCGCGCTGCACCTCGGCCCAGGTATAGCGGGATATTCTGGCGGAAGCTGGGTTATAGGCCGGCTTAGGTGGAGTAAAACTCACTAATGATCCGCCTTCAGCTGGCGAGCTCGTACCCTATAATTACAGTGTGTTCAAAAAGTTGTCTTCAAATAACTTGTGTAAGAATATACACTTCAAGGAAACATTTCTAGAATGAAATGTTACTTTATGAGTTATGAATTGGAAACTGGAAGCTGTGACGCATTATGTCGTCCCATTAGTATTTGCAGTATATTGCAAAAATGGAATCTGATGTTTTTTTTTTTTACCTGCCGACGATCTCTTAGCGTAGATAAAGACTTACGTGGACGTATGCGGGTGTCTTTCTATTGTTCCCATTTGCATCCCATGACCTCGACCTGTCCCTCTCACAACAGGACCTGGCCGATGCTGAGCGGGCGTCGGTCGGGCGTCGGCGGCAGCGGCCCCGTCTCCCCGTCCGGCAGCGACCTGCTGTGTCCGCCGGACCTGCAGCCGATGGCACTGAGCCCTCTGCCGGGACCGTCCGGCGCGCAGGACCCCATGGCGCAGCCCGTCTATCAGGTGGGCGCCGCGAGACAGAGGGTCACGGCAAAACGTATGTTATACTAAAATAGTGGTGTCTATATATCAATTACTATAAACTAATGAATATCGACGCATCATTTATCGAATTATCGAGGAGTGGTGTTTTCTTTGCGTGTATATACCTAAGATGCCATGAAACAACGTGAAAATAAAGGAAGCGTTATCTGCAGCAACCTTGGTTCAATTTGAACGCTCCAATTTAAGCGAATGCGCTTATGCGTCGGTCTGCGACAAGTTTACTTGCATGTGTGCAATGTGTGATTAATAAACTGGTTGATGATGATGATGATGAATGATGATAAATGATGATGATGATGATTCACCAAACCTAACATGAGCGAGGCCTTTAGTCTCTGTAGTGTAAACTGACCTGCGCCCTCCGGCTGCGTCAGGCCGACACGGGCGGCGTGCTGCTGCGGTCGCCGCCGGCCGACAGCTACCTGGTGTCCTCGTCTACCGGCGCACTGGACGGGCACGGCGCCGACAGCTCAGACGCGCCGCCACCAACCCCGGGCATGTCGGCTATGATCGACTCTACCGTGGACGACCCCGAGTCGGTGGCTGCTGCGCCCATGGAGGAGTCGGAGGTGAGAGAGGGGGAGAGAGGGGAGAGGGAGAGGGAAAGAGATAGAGAGAGAGAGGGAGAGAGAGAGAGAGAGGGAGAGAGAGAGAGAGAGAGAGAGGGAGGGAGGGAGGGACAGAAAGAGGAAAATGGATGGAGAGTGGGAGAGAGGGGGCGGCACCACGAGGCTGGCCGCGAAACGACATGGACCAACATCGACCAAGAACGCGTTCATTCAGGCGTGGCGGTGGGGAGGGTTGCGGTGTCACTCCACTTACCGGCGACCAGCGGGTGAACGACGCGATAAAGGGAGCTGCTACCCTCAGCGTGCAGTCTCGCCTCGTTGTCCACCGGGTAGTCGCGCCGGATCGCCGCCCTCACCGTCCTGTCAAGTGCGCGGAAGGCCGGCGATCTCCCCTCACGGCCCAACACACCTCTTCTCTCCGCCATTAGACACAGGGTCGCCGAAGTGACAGCCGGCGCACTTCTGGATATACGTTAATCTGAGCGGGGTATGCTGGTGGATGACATAAATCATTTAAACGGCGATTGAGAAAAGACAATCATCAACTGTCGTGAAACAAACCGAGAAAATAAATGTTTCTAAAAAGACGAGTGCTTACACGGTGAGGTACACGGCGGCATTTAGAAATACTTAAAAGGGCACGAGGATAAGAACTGGTCCAGAGTGCCACAGTAAAACTTTGAAACCGCACCTTTAGTTCGTTGAACTCGGGCTGGACGGCCCCCCACCGTACACAATACACATGGCATGGATGGCACACTGCGGCGATGGAGAACTGTCGGCCGGTCGCTGGCTTTACTCGCAGCCACAGCGACTCCAGCCGACAGGTCGCGCAGTCTGACGCGGGCTGGAGGATGACAGATGCCGTGTAGCTGCTGTCATCGACCAGAACGGCCACCCCACCGTAGCCCGCGTCACCCGGCCGGTCGGCTCTGTGCAACGTGTAGCCGGGGAAGTTCACCAGCCGGGACGCAGTGGCGGACCAAAGTCACTTCTCGGTACTAACGCAGACGACATTACCAAGTCGGCCCAGATGCTTGTGCTGGAGAGACACGATATTGGGAAGCAGGAACTGGGTGTAAATCAGTCCCGATTCTACCAATTACCGTCGGGACAGATTGCCGCCGTGCCCGGCCGCCCCTGCACCCCCGGCGCCTGGCGCTGGCACCGCGCCTGCCACGGCGGGTCACGTGACCGCCTGGGGCCCGCCTTAGCGGCATGGCCGCTCCGGTCCGGTCCGGGAAATAGTATGGGTGGAAGCCAGGGCACCGACGCCGCCAGGAACGGCGACCTGGCGGCACGTCGGCACGTCCGACGTTCGTCCTTGTGGTGGTGGAACAGCGCTGGTGACATTGTTGTGTGCTGGTTGATAGTGGCGCAGGCCGAGCGGTGGACATCAGTAGGGAGGTAAGCGCCAATAAAACCAAGTGACGGGCGATGTCACGAATACGAGCATCGTAGAGACGCGAGTCGTAGTGAAGATGGCCAAAACTGTTCGACGTAGCAGCACGGCGTATACCTAAACTTCAGACTCACATACGCACTCGGTCTCTCACACACACTGGAAGAGGCACACGGCGCTGTGGGCAGTGATGGGCAGTGATGGTGTGTTGTCTAATTCAACTGGTGCCTCTACTTGGCTTTGAATCTGGCTGGTCGGTATGGTGTGAACGCTGGATGAATGTCTGTCCTCTCCCACCTTTCATCTGGTCCTCTTACTATCTAACCCTCTTCCTAATCTAACCATTTAACCGACCTCTTATCACCCCACAGACGGAGGACGAGCCTGATGACGGTATCAGCGGCGGACCGGCTGGGAACCAGCAGCTACACCTGGCCGATAACTCGGCCCCGGGGCCGTCTGGAGCGAGCACCGAGCCGGGTCCATCAGACGACAGAGGTCTGCATTCGCCGCCGAGCGACCAGCACCTAGTGACAGAGGCCGTGGTCGTCGAGCCGATGGACGAGACTTATGAGGTGGGTACTGGGCGTAGATGAGACATATAACTGGTTTAGCGGTACCGGTACAGGGCAGACATGGTTTGACGACCATTGCTTCGCTAGTCTGCCAAAGGAATATACGTAAGACTGGCCTATTGTTACGTCTTCGTATGACTGATGTGACTTTTCCAATCGTGTGATCGATTTTTATCAACTTAATATTCTGGTAACATTCACCTTGACCTATGTTGTCTTGATTCGAGCTTGTTACAGTCCTAACGTAGGTGGCTAACTGACTAATCATGAGTTATCATTGCTCTGCCTTTACCCACTCTTGCCCGCTGTCTGCCAGACGGACGCGGGCGGCTCTGCGCTGGTGGTGTACGAATACCTGGACGACCTCCCCGCGGACGACCAGCACCCGGCTGATCCGGCCGGAGAGCCCGGACCGGCGTCAGCCCCGGCCGAGACGCGGCACAGACGACCGTCAGAAGCCGACCAGGACTCGCTGAGACTGGAGCCTGACGAACGGGAGGCACTGCGGCGTGAGAGAGCGGAAAGCAGGCTAGGATCGCGGCGCCGACCGGAGCCGCCGCTGCTGAGACTGGCTCGGCCAAATCACCACCAGCAGCAGCAACCCCAGCACCAGGAACAACAACAGGAACAAGCTGAGCTCAGTGACAGCCCACACCGCCAGCTCAAGGTGCCACCCGATGATGACCTGGACGAGGACCCACTGCTGACCGACCAGCGAGCCGCACTGGTACCTCTCCCTCCCGACTCCGACTCTGACCAGGAGGCGGCTGATGGCGGCTCTCAGTCTCCACCTCTCCGCCTCCACATGGAGTGTGACAGCGACGAGCCACTCCTAGAGCTCCACAGCGGCCAGCAGGACCTGTTTGAGCGCGAGGCAGACCTCTCAGAGATGGGCTCCGAGGACGGTGTGGATGGGCACGCGGTGATTCTGGCCGGAGAGGCGCAGTACCGGCTCTCGGAAACGGAGGAGGAAGGGGATTCGGGCGACCAGCCGCTGACGGAGGAAAGGCAGACAGGTAGGTGGGACTTGGGGTGACGACGGCGGTGCATTACATATTTGTCGAGTCAATAGCTGTGTCAAAGATAGCTTGTATGTTACCTACTCATCATGCATGTCATCAGCGCTCCTGTTTTTTCATTATAATGCAACTCCATCGGCCTGCCGCTTGGGCATGAGCCGTAGGACATGAAACAGCCGTTCATTCTTTTGTTTTGTGTCGCTCAAGTCGCACCGTTTTCACGGGCGCTCTATACGTTCCCCAGAGCCGGAGGCGGCGGGCTCCAGCGGTGCGGCCGGTATCCGCCCGGCCGACCTAGCCCAGCTGCCGTTCATCTACCTGACTGACGGCCTGGACATCGGGCTCGGCTCCGAGGGCGGCAGCGCCGACCCGGCCGGCTCCCACCTGCTGGTCCAAGTGCCGCCCGCCTACGAGCGGCCGCAGAACGCCCACCAAAACGACTTCTGTGAGTCGACAGTGGTTTTGGACCTAGTGAAGATCAGTACCTAATACGAGTAATGGTCAAGGCTTTCATCCCCAGGTTTCGGGGTTCGCAATTTGTATGGCATGTGGTTAAAACCAGGCCAGTTTTATTAGCGATACATTTTTTGACGTCTTAGCAGTCATATATCTTATTAGAATTATCAATTACAAATCTCTCCTACTGTTCAGCTGGCCTTACCATCCCTGCTTGAAATGCCCAGCCCACCGTATCGCTGACTCACGCCCCCATCTGGCAGGGTGCGAGGAGTGCTGCGCCTACTACCGGGGCCGCTGTCCCGACCACCAGGTTCGCCTCATCAGTGACCGACCGATGCAGAGCCGCGCCTGGGCCTCCCTGCCCACCAGCCACCTGGCCATACGGGCCGTGGGCAACGCCGACGAGCAGCAGGGCGAAACCGGTGAGTGTCACGTGGCAGGTGGAAGGGCTGCAGTGTACTCCAGGTGGGCTAGTGGTGTGCAGGACGTGGGGACCAATGGCGTATGTAGTCAATTATTAGGTCATGTAGTCAATTGTTAGGTCAACGGGTCCATTCTTCTGGACTTTTCTGAGAGATGAGCCGTGTATGCGTGCGACGCTTTCCGGTCATGTGCCTGGTCAGCTTTACTCTTGGATGTGTCCAGCTTTATGAGAGTGGGCATCCCTTAGACGAAGGAGCGTCATGTGGAAGGCGTATTTGCACAGTGTATCTTGTCACCATTTCGGCGGATTATTTTGCTCATCATTCGCTAATCCCGCTGGCAGGTTCACAGCATTACCGTTTTTTGTTTTGTCCGTGTTCTCAATTACCTGCTGAGACTGAGCTATCGCTGTTACTGGACTATTGCCGATTAACCAATTGCTACCGTCCCTCCCGTCAGTGTACGGCGTCATTGCCAAGAAGACGATCCCAAAGCGAACCCAGTTCGGCCCCATGGAGGGGATATTGGTTCGCCGGGACCGTGGCTCTCTGCCGCCCAACCCCACTGGCCTGGTGCTCAGCGTGGACCACAGTGGACAGCTCCACACGGTGGACGTCTCAAACCCAGGTCAGTGTGGACTGTGTAGCGTAGATGTCTCAAACGTGTGGACGTGTGAAATGTGGACCACGGACAGCTACGCGCCCCGAGCGTTTCATTTCGTAAAACACCGACTCGTCTAAGACTAAAACGCTTGCCAGCTCAACTGTTGATACACATAGCTTCGCTGATACATGATCTGCGAAGATTAAACGCGCTGGGTTTTTGAATGAAATAGCGATGCTAGCCATTGCATGAGCATTGAGCAATATGAGCAGTGAGTTAAAAAACTGTCTGTATTTCACCGGTCAAGCTGTGACCATACCCACCTGTCCCGCCCGCAGACTGCAGCAACTGGATGCGTTTCGTGCGCCGCGCTGAGACGGCCGAGCAGCAGAACCTGGTGTTGAACCAGCAGGGCTCGCATCTGTTCCTCACCAGCAGCCGCGTGATCGCACCGCGCGAGGAACTGCGCGCCGGCTACAGCCTGCCGTACGCCGCCAGACGAGGACTCGCCATGCTAGTCGCTAAACGTACGTCATGACTGGCAGACAGAATTGTGTTGGGTATTATACAGCTTAGAGGTAGTGGCGGGCAAAGGGAAGCCAAGAGACTGTAATCGGTTTGTGCGATGGTTGATCCAGTAACGCAACGTTTGGTTTTGTTTGCAGACTTGATTGTCACTGTTTAGCAGAAGCTTAGCTTTTGACTGACCAATACCGTTTTCCCTCAGCGGAAGTGACTGTAGAGGCGGGGACCTCCAGTGGCGACGGAACGCCCGAGGATGGCAGCTCCTCGAATGATGCCGGCGGCGCTGGGAAGGAGGAGCCCGATGAAGTCAGCGCCCAGGCGGAGCAGCACCAAGTGGACGCGGATGATCATGATGATCCGGTCAGTGGATAGAGCCAGGTAGCGGCTCTGTGTGTGAAGGAGGTGTGCATGTTTTTTAGGCTTCTTCAGTTGATGGTGGAAGATCTGTCTGAAAGGTACTGGCGTGTTTTGTTTTGACTGCAGTTAGCTAGTAACAGTATCTGTTTTTTCTTCATTAACCTTCGCCCTGGTGGGGGGGGGGCCATTTTGGCCCCCCCCCCCCCTGTGGTTTTTCAGCGATAACTCAGAAACCACTTGAGTTAGCGCCCTGAAACTTTGTATAGCTGTTTATTCAACATTTTTACATCATGTCCTTTTTTTGGGGGTTCGGGTCAGGTCAGGTCAGGTCACAAGGTCACCAAAACTGACACCACCTCTAAAAAAGTTCAAAGCTCTCTCAAAGGCACAGCTTTTATCCGATCGATGTAAAATTTACAGTACTTGAAGATGTCACCCAGCTCTACAAAATGGCTATCTCGGATTTTTTATAAATGTGACCTAAGGTCAGGTCAGGTCATCGCTGCTCCCCATTATAAGTCAATGGGAGAATCGAAAAGTAGTTGTTTTTCAGCTAAATCGGGCGTGATTGTTCCTATATTTCGTTATTGAAGTGTCTTGGGTCAGCAAATCACAGCCCATGTGAAACCATTTGCTTGTGACCTCGCTGAGGTCACGCTAGGTCATCTCCCTGGTCACCAGAGGTCACCAGCGGTTTTTCTGCACTTACTTGTTATTGAATAGAGATAGAGACTCCGTTCGACGTTTATCGTGTTTGTCTCGTCAATGCGGATCGAATGATATGCAGCATGACCTATTTCGGTAAGGTCATGACCTTGACCTGAGGTCAAATTTTCAAAATGACCTTTCGAGGTCAAACTATATATCATTCGACGCGTCTCGACGAGCCAAGCACGATGGTGCATGAATCGTTTCTCTATTTTCTCGTGAATGCATGCTATAGTTAAAAACATTTTCAACGAAATTTGCCAAGTTGACCTTGCATGACCTCTGTAGGCCAAACCGTTGAGCTGAGGTCAAATCTGACGAACTTCGGCGAAAGAGCTTGAAAAGAGCTATCGATTGCTTTTTTCCGCGGCTCTCTAGCTCTTCTAGTTTCCGAGCTACAGCGGAATATGTCCGGCAACACCGAAAACACTGAAATTTGACCTATGATGACCTCTAGCGACCTCAATATTGACCTTAGCGAAAAAATGACCGAAATACTTTCGAACGTACTTGTTATGGGCTTTCGTTTGCTTTTTTCCGCGTCTTCCTAGCCCTCTTCGTTTTCGAGTTAGACGGGGGGGGGGTCATTTTGGCCCCCCCCCCCCCCACCAGGGCGAAGGTGGCTCAGACCCACACCAGGGCGCGGGTTAAGATAAGATTGTTCCCACTCGTTATAAACATGTAATGTTACGTGCTATTTTAGTGCTCCAAGGTGGGTGCTATTCGACCTACCTAATAGTCTGGCTGGTGGTTTGCTATCCATTATGTGACGAACACGCTATGGTTTGTGACCAGCTGAAGTCTGACCTGCGCCGTTGGCCCTGACCCACAGGACTGGCCGCTGACGTGCGAGGGCTGCGGCCGCTGCTTTGTCAATCTGTCCGCCCTGGAGGAGCACGACTGCGAACACCCACAGGACGAGGATGAGGAGGGGCCCGAGCCCGAGGACTCGTCCCCGCAGCGGCGGCCGCCACCGCCTCCTCAGACCCCGCAGCCGCAGAGTCGCATCCCGGCGCGGGGCCGGCCGCCCAAGAACCCGCGCCAGCCGCCCAAACGGGCCGAGGCCAGTCGACAGAACGCCGATAGGTGAGTTTAGTGCAGTGTCGCTCGAGCAGGGAGTCTGATAAAACAGCACATCAAGGGAGAGGGTGTTCACCTGTTCAATTCGAATGAGTGTCTAAAATAGTCCTGGCAGTCTTTTAGCCCAAATTGTCATGGTCACTTCGGTTTACAGCTAAACACTGGGACGAATCAAACTAATTCGGCCATCATGGCTAGTTACCCTACATGATCATTGTATATGCGTCTTCCTTAATTCCACACTTCGTCACTTGTTTCTGTGTATCGGCTGGACTTGAGGTCGCTTATCGCGCGCCAGTCGTTTTAAAGGGACCCTCCCACCTTAAAGGTAGTGTGCCACCTTTGAAAGATTTCCCATTTTATTTTTCCCAGGATAAGAAGCTTCTGTTTTTACCTAATATCGCAAAAAAAAATCAAAAATAGGCCTAGAATAGTGCCTTTTTCGCCTAAAAGTTTATCGGTTTTTCGATATGTATAACAACTGTAGTGGGCTGGCCTGCAAACAGGCGTCGGCAACAATCGCGAATGCGGCGCACATGTGACAATAAGCAAAGGTCATTATAGAGTTACGACGTACGGGAATGAGTTATCAGCTGTCTAATCGTAGACAACACAATGTCGAGCCTTAAACTGTAAGCCTGTATTGGTATTGTTTCTTTTATTTGGCTGTCGAACATTATTTATGGTTTGAAATATGATTTTATGTAAAATAATTGATATGAAACAGCCGTCTCTTAAGTTATGACCCCATTTCACCACACGCAAGTGGCAGAAATGAGAATGATCAGCTGACGCATTTTTCTTGGCCGAAGTCAGAGCGCGCGGCCCGACGCACCACCACCGCACCACAAAGTATGAGCAGAAGCCGCGCCCAAAGCCAGGGCCCCGGTAACGTGAGGTAGCCGAGTTGTTGTTGTTGTTGATTCCCCTCGGCGGCAGGATCACTGCCGCGAAGCCTCTCGGCTTTGAAGTCGTCTGGTCGCGGCCGCCAGGGCCGCGACGACGTCCGCGCTCCGAATCTCCTCGTGTGACGGGTGAATGGTGCCCAACAGGCGGAACCTCAGGTTCATCAGGGCAGGGCATCGCAGCAGAACATGTCCGGGCGTGTCCGCCTCCTCCCGACACACCGGACACCGTCCCGCCCGGCATCCATGGTCATTACAGCCAGGGCACTCCACCGTTGGGTTACGGCCGATCCTGTGCATATACTGGGCGGAGCCCGACCAGTGGCCCGCCCGCAGCTGGTGCACCTCTACAGCCGCGTGGCGGTCCAGATCAGCCGCAGGTGGAGGCAGGCGTTCGCCCCACAGATCCCGGTACCACCCGCTGGGGCGTTGTCTGCCGATTTTTGCCCTCGCTGCTCTGGCGGACGCCCTCAGCACGGTCCTCACATCGAGAGGGACCTCTTCCTGCGGGAGCGCCGACGCCTCCTTGGCCAGGACGTCGGCCCGCTCGTTCCCTTCTAAACCGCAGTGGGAAGGGACCCATTGAAGGTGGAGCCGACGAGCACCCTCTCTTGTCAGGAGGGTGAGGGCATCCCAGACTTCGCTGTTGAGCTGGGTCCGTTGCTCAGAAGGGCCGCTTCTGAGGGCCGCCAGGGCAGCTTGGGAGTCTGTGCATATGACGATGGGGACATCTTCGTGAGCCGGGTGTTCTAAGAGGTGTCTCAGGGCCGTGCGGAGGGCTACCATCTCGGCCCGGTAGCTGCTACACAAACTACCGGCCGGGGCACGGAGCTCTTCTGTTGAGTCGTCCGGCCACACGATGAGTGCTCCAGCGCCGCCGTCCCTGAAGCCCTCCTCCGCTGAACCGTCCGTCCACACCCAGGTGGCACACTGGGGGAGGGAGGCCAGACAGAGGGCAGCCTCTTGTCTTCGGCGATCAGCGGGCGATCCAGGTGGTGGGCGCGTCCCGGCCTCCAGGTCAAAGGTGACCGGCGCGGGTCGCAGCCACGGTGGGGTACGGGGCTGAAGGATGGGCTCCATCCTCGCCTCCACTCCAGCCTCCGTCCACGCCACCTGTCCCACTTCTCTCCAGCCTGTCACCGTCGTCAGCCGCTTCGCTGCCGTGCTGTCCGCGACACGCCGGAGGGGGTCCTCTTCTGGGAGGGCTCGCGCCTTCGCCAGCAGTCGAGCAGCTAGCGTGGTCCTTCTTGAGGCCACCGGGGCGAGGCCCGCTTCCGCCATCAGCGCATGTGTCGGGGTCGACGCGACGCAGCCCGTGATGATCCGGGCTGCAGCCCTCATCTCGCGTTCTAACACCTCGACGTGGGACGGTGGGGTTGAAGGGAGCCAAGCTTCCGCCGCGTGCTCCAACGCTCCTCGTACGTAGCCATTGGCTACCGTGCGGAGCTGCTTCTCCTCCAGACCCCAGTCCCGTCCAGTCAGGCGCCGCAGGTGGGCGAGCCTCGGCCGGGTTCGTTGTTTCAGTTTCTTGCAGTGCTGACCGAAGTGTAGGAGGCGATCCAGCGTCACACCGAGCAGGTTGAGTGTGTCTCGCGCCTTCACTGTCACTCCGGCCACCTTGATGGAGAGGTCCACTGCGTCCCTGGCCCACTGCGAGAGGACCATCACCTGCGTCTTTGGTCCGGCGACCACCATCTTCGACGACCTTGCCCACTCGACGAGGGAGTCGGCTGCCAGCTGGGCGCGCCGCTTGGCCGTCTGGATGTCCGCGCCTCCGCACAGTGCTGCCGTGTCGTCCGCGTACATAAATGGCGAACAACCCGGGATGTTCTTGAGAGAGCGGATGAGTGGTGCTGCCCATAACAAAAACAAGGGCGGGGCCAGGACGCTGCCCTGAGGCAAACCTGCCCGGAACACACGCTCTCCGCTCCTCACTCCATTCACCTCCACCCGGACTCTTCTGTCACGCAGCCACTGCCATAGCCATCGCACCATGCAGTGGGGGAGGCCCAGTTCGAGGAGCCGAACGCGAAGCAGGCGGTGGTCCACCACGTCGTAGGCCCTGGCGAAGTCATAGGCCGTTAGGACGTACTTCTGTGCCGTCGTTCCCTCGGGTGGGTCCTTCTTCCTCGCCTTGGGGAGCTGCCAGCCATCGTGAACTTCCTGGATGAGTCTCCCGATGCTGTCCCCTACTGACCGGCCCCTTCTGAAGCCAACTTGCTCCGGGGGGATCATGCCGCGGGACTCTGCCAGGAACGCGAGGCGTGCCTTGATGAGGCGCTCCACCAGTTTGCCAACGTGGGAAGTGAGGGCGATAGGTCTGAAGCTGGCGACGAGCCTTCTGTCTTTTCCGGACTTCGGGATGGGCACGACGGTGGCGGCTCGCCACTGTCGTGGAACCTGACCGGTTGTCCAGGACTCGTTGGTGATGGTCAGCAGCTCACCGCGGGCGACCGGGCCGAGGTGACGAATCATCTCGTTGGACAGTTGGTCGGGGCCGGGCGACTTTTTCAGCTGTAGTCTGCTGATCTCCCTCACCAGGTCTTCCATGTAGAAGGGGAGCAGGCTCCGCTGCGATGGCCCCCACACTCCTGGCAGGAGCGCTTCGATTGTTGGGCCATCTTGTGGCGGGCGATCCGGTCCAGCTTCGGGACGCGGACTTGGCGAGACACGCGCGCGTACTCGCGAGCAAACGCCTCTGCTTTGTCCTTGTCCGTGCTGATGGTCTTCCCGCGATCTTCCATAGCCTGTCCATCTCGGGGCTCATCGTCCAGGTCACGTTCCCACTTCTTGAGTGTCTTGTGAACCCTCCCGAGGTTAGCAGGTTTAGCCAGGGTAGATGACACAAACTCTCGGAAGTGTTCCTGTGCAGCGCGCCTCTCTAACTCCGCCGCTCGCCGCTTCGCCGTGATCCAGCGTACCCTCGAGTCCGGGTCGTCTGGGCTCATCGCTGCGCGAGCCGCGCGGCGCTCCAGCACCGCCTCCACCAGCGCGGGGTCGAGGGCCCACGGCCGCGGGTCCGCCCTCGCACCGCGCGGGATGTGGCGAGCCGCTGCTGTCCGGAGGGCCTCCTCGAACCGGTCGGTCCTCTGTTGAACTGTGAGAGGTCCGTCCACCGGTGCTCCAAGCGCCTTCTCGCAGTCGGCTTGAAAGGCCAACCAGTCGGCCTTGTGGAATGCCCACCTGGTCTTCCGGATACGCTGCGGGTTCGCCGTAGGGGACCGAACTTCGACCACCATAGGGAGGTGGTCACTTCCGAGGTCTTGGCCAATAGACCACCGGGCCCGCCGTGCGAGGCTCCCACTGCAGGCGGCGAGGTCCGGTGCGGACAGTCCACCAGATCTGTAGCTGGCGAAGGTGGGTTCGCCGCTGTTGAGTGGCGTCCAGCCCACCTCTTCCAACCAGTCCGCCACTCGGACCCCCACTGGGTCTGGCTCGAGGCAGGAGCCATCCCACCACGGGTGGTGGCCGTTGAAGTCACCGACGATGATGGTCTCGTCGTCGCTTGGGAGGAGCCTGGGGTCGAACCGATCTACACGGTCGTCATCCGTCGCCCTGATGGGAGGGCGGTAGAGGTTGATGATGTTTAGGGGATGGGGGCCCAGAAGCCGGACCCCACAGAGCTCTGTTGAGTCGTCCGTCGCCGCCAGGAAGCCGCCGCTCAGGACATCGAAGTGTAGCCCCGCACGGATGTAGAGCGCCACATCTCCACCCTTCACGACGGACGCACCGGTCGATCTGCCACGCGCCCTGCGCACCACCACAGGAGGTTGGAATCCGGGAATGTTCGGCACGGTCTTGGAGAGTTGAGCCTCCTGCACCGCCACTACGTCTGCTTTTACCGCGGGTAGCCAGCTTCCGAGCTCTCGCACCTTGGTACGTAGCCCCTCCGCGTTCCATGACACGACTGTCACGTGGCTTCTCCTGGCCCGCCTGCGTCTGTAGCGGCGATTCTTGACGCTGCGCCGTCCTCCAGATCCTCCGCCGTGGTTGCTCCCTCCGCCGGTCTCGGAGGGGGGCGTGGCTGGCGCGTTAATCATTCAGCGGGCCGGGGGCCGTGCGACGCACGGCTCCCGGGCCCGTAGGGCATTGCTCGCTGCCCTGGCGACGGTCGCTCCCCAGTGACGAGTAGGTAGACGGGGAGACTCGGAGCGGGTCCGGAAGCGGCGAAGACCGCGACCAGACGAGGAAGGGGCGAGTTGAGGTCCGTTTCGTTTTCCCGGCGGCGGTGTCCAGCCGTCGCCGGTGGCCCGAGGGCCACACCCCCCACCGCGTGAAGGCGAACCTCTCCGGGGGGCAGGTAGCCGAGTCGGGGCAGCGTGCGCTGACCCAAGCCGGGGCCGCAGCTTTGGGCGCGGTCTACCGCATCCCCGCGGGCAGCCCCGGGCTATCACATGACACCGGGAGGACGCGCGGCCCCGGCTTGGGTCAACGCACGCTGCCCCGACTCGGCTACCTCACGTAACCGGGGCCCTGGCTTTGGGCGCGGTCTACCGCACCACCTAACAGGCGTGTTCGAAACCGCAGGAGATGATGATGAACGGGTTTATCGAAACTTGATTGGATGAGCATATCGGTAATAGCGATTTCAGTGTGTGCATTTATTGTTCATAGTGGTGTGAAATGTGGTTGGGGTACGACCGACAACCCGTCGGGGCGAATTTCGCACTGGGGTACTCAAAATTTGAAGAATTTAAGACGTTTCCATGAGTTTTGAAGGTATGGATAAGTTCTAAAAATCCGGTTCTCCTTATCTGGGCCATTAACTCCATACGGTCCAGGAAAGCTGGCACACTACCTTTAACCCGCGCCCCAGTGGCGGTCTCGGCCAACTTCGCCCTAGTGAGGGGGGGCATATGTTACCACCCGCCTCTAACTCAAAAACTAAGAGGGCTAGAAAGACGCGGTAAAAAGCAGTCGATAGCTCTCAATACGTACGTTTGAAAGTATTTCGGTCACTTTTCACCTTAGAGCAATATTGGGGTCACCAGAGGTCATCAAAGGTCAAAATTTGCCAATTGTCATTATATTTTTCAGAAAACATGCCGCTATCTCAGGAACTATGATAGCTAGAAAAACGCATGGAAAAGCAATCGATAGCTTTTGAACTCTTCTTTTGAAAAGGTCATTATCAATATTGTCCTCAGGTCAACGGTTTAGCCTCCAGAGGGCAAAAACTCCAAAAATAGCTGTTTTTGCGAAAAGTGTTTTTCGACAATAACTTTCGACTACAAAAAGCCACGACATTTCTATTGCCAGAATCGTGTTCCCCTCACCGAGACGCGTCGAATGAACTATATTTTGACCTTGAAAGGTCAACTTAAAAATTTGACCTCAGGTCAAGGTCATGACCTGACCGGAAAAGGTCATGTTGCATATCAGTCGATGCGTCTCAACAAGACAAACACAATGAAACCATCCCCAGCGTTCTATCTCTTCCCAATCGCGAGTTATTGGCAAAAAACTGTTTGTAGCCTCAAATGACCTCGGATGACCTTTCTAGAGGCTATCAGCAAAAATGACACCTTGGTCATCACGAGTGGACTAAATCATTGTGATTCTGAAATATTTGGACTGTTCCTATGCGTACACACGGATCTAGAGGCATTTTCATTTTTCTCCATTGACTTGTAATGGAAAGGTCATGCCACTGACCTGACCTTAGGTCACGGATATAAAAAATCCGAGATATACAAATTGTAGGCTCCCATAACAGCATGCAATCCACCAAGTTTAAAACCTTTCTGACAAACACTGCAGGCTGGACATGATTGCAAACTTTTTTTAAGGCTTGGTCAGTTAACTTGACCTGGTGACCTGACCTGACATGACCTGGGGTCAAAAATTTCACACATTGTCCAAAATTGATGTACCAAAAGCTACCCCAAGCGGCGCGGCGCTACGCGCCGCGGTTTTTTATTCACACGCGAAAAACGCGACAGGGTGGTAACATATGCCCCCCCCCCCCCACTGGGGCGAAGGTTAACATTAGTTTTGAGTTGAGATAGCCAAGTTTGCGGCCAGGCTCAGAAACCACCATTTATCCGGGTCGCAACCCCCGCAGCTTTATAGTGTTCAAGAAATTTCTTCCTTTTACTTGCAGGGTGGGACCAGCGTGGTCCCTATCTCTTAACCATTACGGGAATCTGATGACGTCATCAGGCTTTCGAACGTCCGTTAAATGTTTGACTAAAACGTTTTGTAGCACGCGGTGGTATATGCTGCTTTGCGCGCAACAAATGCCGCACTTTCAAATAAAGTCGCTATGAACAGCGGAGATCCCAAAAAGTAAACAAAAGTAAAAGTCTAATATCTTGAAAACCGGTGAATATTTTTCGATGAAATTTGGTAGATATTCGTTTTTGCTCTTTCTGAACCGAGCGACATCACTTTCATGCCAATTCATTAACTTTTTTGAAGGTGGGAGGGTCCCTTTAACTGACCGTCTGTGCCCGGCCACCGTGTGATCGCCTGCGCCCCGCTGCTCACTGTCCGCCGGTGCCCGACTCTTGACTGACCGCCTGTGTCCCGTCGCCGTCGCAGGTGGATTTGCCAGTATTGCCCGCTGAGTTTCGAGTCAGCCTCCACCCTCAACCTGCACACGCTGGCCCACGCCGCCGAGGACCTGGAGGATTCGGCGCCGACCGCCGACGAGCCCCTCCACTGCCCGGAGTGTAACAAGGTGCGTCAAACACCGGGAACGATTCAGCGGCTAATCGATTTAATGAGCATACGCCCACGAAGCGTTCTCATGCATTTATATACAAATTACGTTTTAAATATTGAACAAGATGAAGGAACTCGCCCATTTTACATGAACTGCACCTGAGTATGCTGTCATGAACCCCACAGCCCGTCCATTGCAAGTCTTCATTAACAGTATCGTTAATTTTCCCTCACAGGAGTTTGTGTCTCGGGACGAATTAATCACCCACGTGGCCTCTCACGGCACTGAGCCTGAGAGAGCCGCCGAGGAGGACGTCTACATTGACCCGATAGACGAGAACCGACCCTACCGGTGCCACCCCTGCGGACGGAGCTTCACTCATGAGGAGTGGCTCAAGGTGAGATGGGAGGGTGGGGCTATCCAGGCTCGGGAAGCCTCGAGCTGCTTTCGTCTTGGGAGATTGGCGATAATAATGGTTATTGTAACTTTACTGGTAAACTTCAGAAAGAATGGATTTGAAGTGTTGCGGCTGTTTATGCATGTGCATTTATATTGTGAGAGCATATTTTCTGTCGCAACTTTTCACGCACATTCTCCGAACCATGCATTTCAAGTGATCAAAACACGTGCAAAGTGATTCAGGTGCTTTAACTCCGTTCTTTCTTGGGTTTGCCAGACTATAGGTCTCTATCCGAAATATTAGGTGCTTAGCCGTTTGTGATCATGTGCCCCTGAAGGCGTGTGACATCCTCACGTTTGCACAGCCTTGCTCTTTACCGGGCACTAGGCATCTTCTGACCTCTTCATTGGGATAAACGTTTCTAGCGGCGCTCTATTTACGATTTATCAGACGTTGGTATTCTATTCTGACACCGATTCCCGTTCTCTGCCCCCAGCGCCACCTGCAGTCCCACATTCCTGACGAGGAGAAGCCACTGGCGTGTGGAACCTGTGACCGGCGCTTCGCCAGCGTCACGGCGCTACAGTGCCACCGGCGCGTACACTCGGCAGCGGCGCGGCGCTTCCAGTGTCCCCTCTGCCGGGCCATGTTCGAGCAGGTCACCGCGCTTCGGCAGCACGTCAGGGTGAGGAGGACGGGACTGGATGGGGTGCGGTGTCGGTGTGGCGGGAGGAACGGGGGGAAAATGGAGCATGGACTGGCAGGGAGGATGTCGGAATGTTTGGGTGGGATAGGCGTGAACTGAGAAGTATGGGAAAAATGATTGGATCAGAGACTAACGTGTACTGATGTTGATATTGGGTTCAAAGATTACCAGATGTCTATGATGTATACTATTACAGGTTTTGACAGCATCGACATATTTTCCAGACGCATGCGACCAACGGCAAGTACATCTGCCCACACTGTGAGAAGACGTTCGACGGGTATATGACCATCCGAAAACACATCCGGTCGTTCCACAACGAACGGGTGTTCGTCTGCTCGCTCTGCTACAAACTCTGCCAGTCCACCGATAAACTCAAACAGCACATGCTCAAGTGAGTTGGGAATGCAAGCTGAGGTGGTTGCGGGCGGGAGCGAATCGTGCTTAGATGACACTTCTTTCGGTTTCGAGTGGTTCGTCTCTGGCCTGTGCGGTCGCCCAGAATGGTTGAGAACTTCAACAAGAGATCGCACAGTGCTGTTGTTAGAGTGCAGCAGAGCAAAGAAGCGAGCGGTCCATTGGATATTGTAATTAACCAACTGGTTTTCGGGTATGTGATTGGTTGTTTTTGTTATTGTTTTCCATTCACCCAGCTAGTTTATAAATTGTTACACTCCCAACTCCATATCGACAGGCACTCAGACCACCGCGAGTTCCTGTGCTCCGAGTGTGGGAAGCAGTTCAAGCGGAAGGACAAGCTGAAGGAGCACATCAAGCGGCTACACTCGGTAGATCGGAAACCGCCTCCCGAGCGGAAACCGCGAAAAAAGAAAAAGGCCCCGAAGGAAACACAATTACAGCCAAAGGTACGAAAGTGTTCTGTATATTATGTTCAACAGTGACATCCAAGAACAGAATGTCCGCGATCGAAAACTGTGGGGGGGGGGGGGGATTGGTGAGTAGATGAATGAATGAATGAGTGAATGAAATAGTCTCAAGGCGACTTACGATGAGAGCTCTGTGGTGCTAGTAAAGAACGTGCATATGTCTTACCAGATGGGCTGCGTACCCTGCCCACCTGACTCACTAAGCGCCTGTGTATGGTTATCGGCAGGTGCCTCCCACCGACTACCACCGCTTCATCTACAAGTGTCACAAGTGCAAACTGGGCTTCAAGCGGCGCGGCATGCTGGTTAACCACCTGGCAAAGCGACACCCAGGCATGGGACCCGAACAGGTGGGTTCAGCGCTGGGCGGTGGTACTTACAGCGATTCTGCGCTAACGTGTCTGGTCAATGCTGGTTAGGCATAATCTGCGAGCATCTACACGAAATACTCTAGTTTTTCTTGTCACTAGGTATAGTGACGGTCTTTAGCTTGGCGAGGGGGCTAAAAAGCTCGCTTTTGCTTTCCCCACACTCACACACCTAGTTCTGAGTCAATGAAGCAATATATGACAGTGTAACGGCCTCCGGGCCTCAGGTGATTTTTAACCCCCAACCCCCGACTTTGAGGAGGAATGGTTGGTTATGGGCGCCATATAGCCTCGTTGCTGGTGCGCCCTAAAACACCAAATCATCATCTTATGACGGTGTAAGACCATAATGTAATAATTTTGTGACCATTTTGACGTCCTGATCTTTCCAGGTACCGGAGCTCATGCTTCCAATCCTCAAAACGACCAAAGACTTTTACTGCCAGTACTGCTACAAGACCTACAAGAGCAGCTCGAAGCGGAAGGCGCACATCCTGAAGATCCACCCCGGCGCAGAGCTGCCTGTCAGCTGCCGAGGTGCGGCCAGGCTTCCACTGGTAAGTGGGAAATACTCTGGAAGCTGCGGCTGGTGAAGGGTGTAATGGGGTCCTTCCTTGATTTGCTGAGTGGTTTCGAACTTCCTCCGTTCGTATTTGTGTTTGTGACGTGCGTGGCCCACGCACCCACACAGCTTTGGTGGTGTCGGAATTATTAATTGTGAATGTTAAAATTCGAATTCATATTTGCTTTCATCGTGACGTGACGTGACTCAGTCCGCATCTCAATCGGTTCGCATATTTACTTTGATCAGGCTGTGAGCTGGCGGTGAGCTGCTGATGCGAGCTGGCAATTAGTGCATCTGCTGATAATTTCTCTCTTCTTGACTTAACCCTCCTTTGCGTGACCTACACAGGGTGACAGCGCGGACCAGACCAGCTACTCTCAGACGGTCGGCAGCGTCACGATGTCGCCACACGCTTGCAGCTGGTGTCACAAACAGTACGCGTCGCGCGCCAAGCTGCTGCAGCACCAGCGCAGCAAACATCCCGACCTGATGCCCACCGATAGCCAGAAACCGCGCCAGACGTCCCGCACCAGCAGTCGGAGGGCAGCGGCCAGAGCCGAGCTTGCCGGTTAGTCGATGTTTGATATTGCGACTCCCGCGGTATTTGATGGTTGGTAATACCACTCATGTGAGCAACTTCATGAGAGCGTTGCCTTGGTCTCAATTTTGTTGAGCGTTGAGAAGTATCTTGAAGCGTGACTGTTGACTGCACGTAGGCGTGTGGTTTGTAGAGTTTGACCGACGCGTCGATATTTAGGCTAATTCCACATCATTACCGGATCTTTTCACAGACAACTCCGTCGCGGATGGACGCGAAATGGCAAAATCAACTAATTGTGGTCGGCGCGCATAGACAAGACTCCGTTGCTGCACTCACAATTCGTTTGCCAGTACATGTGTAATGTGTATCTTAACCCGCGCGGGGCTGGGGGGGGGGGGGTAAATTTTACCCCCCCTCGCGAATTTTTGCGATATCTCAAAAACGGCGGCGCGCAGCGCCGCCAAATTTTCAGTACCTTTTCTTACATCAATTTGACACGTTCCCTGAAAATTTGAGCGAAATCTGTCGGACAATTTTTGAGAAATTGACGTTTTAGTGACGTCATGTTCGCCATTTTCGCCTCAAAAACGGCAAAAGTTCAAACGCCGCTAACATCTTCATTTTTAAAGGAATCAAGACGTAACAAAAAAGGTTATACGTAATTTTACTTTGTCTTTCAAATGGCTATCTCGGTTTTTTGAAAATTTTGGATTTTGGCCTAAATTTTTTCAAAAAACTGACTTTTTTGGGAAAACCATTATAAAATCCAAAATTTTGAGTCTATCGAAAAAACCGGAATATATGTCAGAGAAGTGGTCTATGTGCACCTACATACCAAATTTTAGAAGAATCGGTTCAAAAAGGTGGGAGTTATTCAAAATTTTATGACGTCACGACACACAAAATTTTTGAAAAATGACTTTTTTGGAAGTTCTAGACCTCGTACGGAAACAAAAATAGCACCATTCGATTTGCCGTGAAAAACTGCATCAGATAGACACCTTTTTAGGCCTTAACAACCAACTTCAAAATTTGACCTCACTTGACCTGACCTTGACCTGACCTCGACCTGAAATTCATCCAGAGGTGGTCCATATCACTTATTGAGTATGCCTATTGAATTCTATGAGTAAAATGACCCATAAAACATGTGTCGCACATGCCCTTTTCTATATTTTGTTTTTTGGTGACCTGACCTGACCTGACCTGACCTTCACCTTGACCTCTGAATGATATTGTATGCAACGAATATTGTCTTGGTAGCCTAAGAACACGTTTTGGGCGATCAGTCTCAGTCCATGACTCCATTCTTCGGCAACTACGGTGCAAGGCCGATACTGTAGAAACTTGCAATTTGTACCCTTGACCTGACCTTGACCTTGACCTCAAACTTTAAATTAAGTACATGTTTTTAGTAGTTCGTGATGAGAGCTTTCGATTGGCGTTTGAATTTTTCAAATCGGACCATTAGTTCGGGAGATAACAGGGGGGGTAAAATTTACCCCCCCCAGCCCCGCGCGTTCGGCTGGAGACCCCAGCCCCGCGCGGGTTAAGGTACAGAGCTTGCCTTTGAACTGACCGACCTTTTTCCGTCTTCCACAGCCGAGATGGAGTCATCAGAGAGTGAGGACGCCATCCTGTCTGTGGCCGCCGAGGAGCCTCCCGCCCCCACCCCGGCCTCCGCCGCGCCTGTGTCTCTGGCAGCCGCTGTCCCTGTGCCGGTACCGGTGCCTCTGGCGGGACCGGTATCGGTGGTGGCCCCGGCCGAGCTGCACGCCGCCCAGCCACTGCTGGTGCAGGCCGCCCACCCGGCGCTCATTCAGGAAGCCGGACAGGTTAGTGACACAGGGAATCGCCACCCACCGGACTGTGATATGGGTAGTAGGTTTCTAGAATGGTGATCAACTGTAGATCTCCATACTGGTTACGTTGTTTGTTGTTCGGCGTTATGGACAATGCGATAACTACTGCTAATCTCAGATGACTTAAGTGTCCCGTGTTAAGTTTAAAGGTAGTGTGCCACCTTCCAATGATTTCCCATTTTATTTTTCCTAGGATAAGAAGCTTCTGTTTTTACCTAATATCGCAAAAAAAATCAAAAATGGGCCTAAAATAGTGCTTTTTTCGCCTAAAAGTTTATCGGTTTTTCGATATGTATAACAACTGTAGTGGACTGACCTGCAAACAGGCGTCGGCAACAATCGCGAATGCGGCGCACATGTGACAATAAGCAAAGGTCATTATAGAGTTACGACGTACGGGAATGAGTTATCAGCTGTCTAATCGTAGACAACACAATGTCGAATTTAAACTGTAAGCCTGTATTGGTATTGTTTCTTTAATTTGGCTGTCGAACATTAATTTATGGTTTGAAATATTATTTTATGTAAAATAACTGATATGAAACAGCCGTCTCTAAAGTTATGACCCCATCTCACCACATGAAAGTGGCAGAAATGACAATGATCAGCTGACGCATTTTTCTTGGCCGAAGTCAGAGCGCGCGGCCCGACGCAGGCCCGACGCACCACCACCGCACCACAAAGTATGAGCAGAAGCCGCGCCCAAAGCCAGGGCCCCAGTAACGTGAGGTAGCCGAGTCGGGGCAGCGTGCGCTGACCCAAGCCGGGGCCGCGGCTTTGGGCGCGGTCTACCGCATCCCCGCGGGCAGCCCCGGGCTATCACATGATACCGGGAGGACGCGCGGCCCCGGCTTGGGTCAGCGCACGCTGCCCCGACTCGGCTACCTCACGTTACCGGGGCCCTGGCTTTGGGCGCGGTCTACCGCACCACCTATCAGGCGTGTTCGAAACCGCAGGAGATGATGATGAACGGGTTTATCGAAACTTGATTGGATGAGCCTATCGGTAATAGCGATTTCAGTGTGTGCATTTATTGTTCATAGTGGTGTGAAATGTGGTTGGGGTACGACCGACAACCCGTCGGGGCGAATTTCGCACTGGGGTACTCAAAATTTGAAGAATTTAAGACGTTTCCATGAGTTTTGAAGGTATGGATAAGTTCTAAAAATCCGGTTCTCCTTATCTGGGCCATTAACTCCATACGGTCCAGGAAAGCTGGCACACTACCTTTAAAGGTAGTGTGCCACCTTTGAAAGATTTCCCATTTTATTTTTCCTAGGATAAGAAGCTTCTGTTTTTACCTAATATCGCAAAAAAAAATCAAAAATGGGCCTGAAATAGTGCCTTTTTCGCCTAAAAGTTTTTCGGTTTTTAGATATGTATAACAACTGTAGTGGGCTCACCTGCAAACAGGCGTCGGGCAACAATCGCGAATGCGGCGCACTTGTGACAATAAGCAAAGGTCATTATAGTGTTACGACCATACGACGTACGGGAATGAGTTATCAGCTGTCTAATCGTAGACAACACAATGTCGAGCCTTAAACTGTAAGCCCGTATTGGTATTGTTTCTTTTATTTGGCTGTCGAACATTATTTATGGTTTGAAATATGATTTTATGTAAAATAATTGATATGAAAAAGCCGTCTTATAAGTTATGACCCCATTTCACCACACGCAAGTGGCAGAAATGACAATGATCAGCTGACGCATTTTTCTTGGCCGAAGTCAGAGCGCGCGGCCCGACGCACCACGCGTATTTGGAAATTCCGACCTCGACGAGCATCAGAAGCCACCTAACAGGCGTGTTCGAAACCGCAGGAGATGATGATGAACGGGTTTATCGAAACTTGATTGGATGAGCATATCGGTAATAGCGATTTCAGTGTGTGCATTTATTGTTCATAGTGGTGTGAAATGTGGTTGGGGTACGACCGACAACCCGTCGGGGCGAATTTCGCACTGGGGTACTCAAAATTTGAAGAATTTAAGACGTTTCCATGAGTTTTGAAGGTATGGATAAGTTCTAAAAATTCGGTTCTCCTTATCTGGGCCATTAACTCCATACGGTCCAGGAAAGCTGGCACACTACCTTTAAGTGTCTCCGTCCCGTCTCTCAGACCACGAGCTCCGTTCCATCTCCCCTCTCTGTCCGTGTCTATCTGTGCATGACTACCCCTCATCCTCTACCTACTTCCGTCTGACACCCAGTAGCGGCGGAACACCTTCAATTAAGGGGGGGGGGGCACTGCTGACTTTTGGTCCCATTCTTTCCATGCAACGCCCATAGGGCTAATGTTAAAATGCCAAAATCAAATGGGCACGGTGCCCCGGTGCCCTCCCCGTTCCGCCGCCTATGCTGACACCATCTCTGACCGTCTCCCTCCCGTCCTTCGCAGCTGGAACAGGCCGATCTCCTCGGTGCCGGTATGGAACTCCACTCGCTCGACTACCGACTCTGCCAGCCGGCAGGCGCCGCGACCTCCGGTGAGCTGTGTCGGGTGTGGACGGTCCACAGCACCAGGTAATGCAGGCCTGTCCGGCTAGTGGCTGCAGCTTAACGATGAGCAGTGAGGCTGGTGGGATTTGTGTTAGCTGGCTAGACGCTACAGATCTGGCACACACTGGCGGAGAAATGTGCGGAGATCTTCAAGTGTCGCTGGTCCGTCTGCCGTCTCAATTTTCTGAGAATCACAGCTAGATTGGGGACCCTACAACGGGGCTGTTCGGTGCAATCCTCAAACAAAGGATGAAGACGAAGGTGAAGTGGAGCGCTCTGCGTCTGCGAGGGGGTCTCACTCAGCAGGCGTTGCCTCTTACTGAAGGTCCAGCCCGATTCGAAGTGGGAAATGGAAACAGTCAGTTACTGGACTCACTCGATCGTAACCACTGCCGATGGGTTTCGATTGTTGGTGCCTATCGGGACACCGAGGCACACAGACGGACACTCAGTCACACACCTCGCCCTGTGCTCAGTTCTCGATGCTCGGTTAGGCCGAGTAACTTTTTTTGGCGGTTAGGGAGAGTGGGCCCCATATTATCAGGTCTCAGTGAGATTATTCGACACGACTAAAGGCATTTTTGACAGTTTCGATTGAGAGTGGCTGCTCCAAATTTTGTTCTTTGTCGGCTTCTTTTTATCATTTTTCTCATCCGTGCATTGGTGATACAATTTACTATCATTTGTCCAGAGCAATGATAGAGGAGCGGTGATGGGGGCCGCAACGTGACCAATGACCATGACTGTAGTTAGGCGATAATGATATGGCGATCAGTGATATGTGTGAACAGAGGTGGTTTCGGATCTCCTTTCTGGCCGTACAAACGTACCAACTCGGTCTCGGTCACTCAAATATACATACTGCATGCATGACGTGTTAGCTGATTTTGAGTCAATGTGTTTATGTGACTGTCTTGTCTGATTTGACTTAATGTGTTTGGCCAAGTGTAGTGGCCAGTGCTCCCTGTGTACGACGTGAATCAACTTACGCGTCACGATGGGAAGCTATGGTGTCCTGTGTCTTATTTTGTTGTGTCCGACATGGCAGTCACGTTATGGTAACTGCCCTGCGATATATTGTGTGGGAAGATAGAAAGGTATCTGTCTGTGTCTATGCGAGGTCATTTGTTTTCTACTGCCAGCTTATTTGGTGTGTTGTTTGTCCCAAATGCAACTGTGAAAATATACCGGATGACTACGAGCATCCCTGTGCCGGACAACGTTTGTCAAATTATCAATACTGACGACTTAGAGGCTCACATTTTTTCCGTGACTCCCCTCCTTGGGACAAGCTTGGATGGGGGGGGGGGGGGGCTCACAGTCCCCGTTGGTAGACAGGATGAATGGCAATCCTGTTCAGCACAATTTAAACTTGTTGGTGGATGTGTGATGTTTTGACGTGCGTATAATCACGAAAACCTGTCCTTCTCGTGCGATTCTCGTTTTTCGGATTTGATGGGCATTCGGCATCTTTGCTCTGCGTCATCTATCGAATAGTGTGAGCTGTTAATGATTTTATCGCGACCGTTCGACGTGCTTGCACATCCAGACTGGAGTGGACTCGGTTTAAACTGTATTAACCATTCATATGAGGTGTATTCTATCAGCTAGCACATCCATTGTCTTACGCAACATGTCTTAGGTGATGTCGCCTCGCGCTCCATCATATAGGGGCAAACGTGTTTGTCCGACTAAGCAGCGGACCACGTGTACAACTGCGGGGCGTCCACCCAGCCCCCGAATAATCACACTCTCATTCACTCAATGTACGAACGTCTCTAACGCTGCCTCGCGTACCACAACCGACAACGCATCCATCTATGTCATCTGAACTGCGCCGGCAGCACGTTCGGTCAGAAATAACGCCTACCTCGGAATGAATGATATGGAGTATGCGACTGGGAGCCCTACAGGGGCCCGGCTCTGCCAGCTCTCTCAACAACACGGCAACAACACGCGCTGACGGCGCCAGTAACAACCAGGGGGCGGCCGCGGGCGCGACGCTCATCGTGACTAGAAGGGCCGGGCGGGCGGCGCGGCCCGCTAGGGGGCCACTACGTGCGCGGTGACTAGGGTACTCATTCGGTGGGCCGTGCTCAGTGGCGGCTCCGCGGAGCCTTCTGTACAGACTATGGCAGCCGATTCACGATCCGCGCCCAGTATCTGACGCTCTGTTTTCCTCTGTGCTCTCTCCTCGTCCGCTGGGTTTCTGTACGTCTACTCGAGCTGCTCTAGGAAGCTGGGTAGTCGGAAGTACTCGGGGACGTTCTCGTCGAGCCGCGCAATCACCTTGTAGATGGCCTTCTTCCAGCTGGGCTCGGCGTCTTTGCCGGCCTGCAGGGCGCGGAAGAACTCGCGCAGCGCCGCCTCGGCCACGAACGGAAAGTTTGTCGGAATCTGAAATGAAGCCATGGAGAACGTTATACTTCACTGTGCTCACATGGACAAAGTGCTAAAATTTGCCGCCTGGCGGGGACTTTTTGAAACATCAATCTCCGGTCAGTGAAAGGTTCAGTAAGTTCGATTGCTCAGTAACGAACTACTCGATGCGTGCAAATCGTTTCGAGGAAACCAAAAATATCCAACAGCCAACCCAAATCAGTCAGTCCTTTACTCCGTGATTAGATCTGTCACGGTATATACAATTGGTCACGCATTCGCGGCATCCCATCCAGCACGTTTACCTCGATGTGGTTGTTCCGGTTGTAGTGCAGGTTGAGCACTCGGAGCAGCTCACAGTCGGCCGTCACAGTGAGCTCCTCCGCCTGTTTCACTCCCTCGCTCAGCGCCTGGCGAGCGTACTTCTCCATCTGAATGTAGAAAAACTCCCTGTAGAGGGAAGGAGAAAAGTCGAGGTCAGTTGATCGGTCGGTTCGCTCGAACTGCATGGGACGAATATATGCGGTAACTGTTGCAGGTATAGAAATGTCTGCTGATCTGATACGGGGCGTGACATGATGTGTGCGTCGCTGAACTGACCTGGGTCACGTCTGATTAGTTCGGCTGTCCTGAACGAGTCGTGTTTAACTTCTGGTCGCCGCTGATCCGACTGAGTCATGCCTAGCGTCAGAACCACGGGGCCCCATCTGTCGCCTACCGTCGCCGACTCGGCCGACTCGAGCGGGGGGGGGGGGGGGCGGGCACCGAGCGACAGCGGATCATTCCGGGCCGCTGCGCTCCACGGCGTGCCGTAAAAAGACGCAACGAAAGTGAAATGAAATGTCATGCCCAAAGTATGGTAATTGGCGTCGCTCCGGCGGTGGGCCGGGTGCCGCCAAGGCGCTGTACTTTCGCCGTCGGAGTTGTCCAATTGGTGTGGTGCTAGCGTCACGCGGCTCACGGCCGTGACACCCTGTGACGCCACTACGTGACTATGTGACGGCAGAAAGGTGGCTGAGAGGGGAGCGCACGTGCTCGAGGGTAACACTGCTAAGAGCGAGCAAAGCCAGACAGTCTTGGCGTCCGGTTAGGAATTTAAGCTGGCCGGTATTTAGTCCTTCATGACTGTCGGGTAAATGTATTTTGCTCTTGTCTGTATTATGTATGACCATGTCTTTTGCTGTCTGTATGAGAATTCAATTATCTAGAGATCACACAATCATTATGCGGTGTTTGACCACTACAGGGAACACTGACTGTTGGCCGTTAGGTACAGAGCTGTGACCCACGTGTGATCTCAAACGATAAGACAGCCGGCACCTGAACCTTTCACCAAGGGAAGACGCTTACCCTACCGAGCTCGGACACTTGTGGTAACAAAGTAACGACACACATGTGCCTCTGGTAGTCAGCCCTGACAGAACACTTGACTACCGCTATTTCGTCTAGTCATCTAGTCAATTTGTCTAGTCAGACAAGTGCCTGTGGTAGTCAGCGGCCTGTCTCTGTACACTTGACAACTGTGATCCCGTCCAGTCATCGTCTGCCTATCTGAGATTGGTGCGACCCGACCCTTGGCTGAGTGGTGTGGCGAATAGGCACATTTCTGCAGATGTATGATTCTCGAAACTATCGAGCCCGCATGGCTCAAAAGACCTGAAACGAAGCCCCGCCAAGTTACATGATAATCGTTAATAAGTATGACATCTAAAACTAACGTACAAGCGACTCGGTCGGGAATTCGGCGACAAATAAAAGGTAGCTTGCAACAAGGTATTTTGGGAGCGTAGGGATATGCAGAGGTGCTCGATATTTGTTGACAGGAACGGGGGGGGGCGGAGAGGGGTGAGGGGACGGGTGACCTAGTTGTGACGAGGGCGATGAAAGTGGGACATTTGGTCTTTAAATCAGGAGAACCGTGCAGAGTTGACATTCGAGCCTCGTTTGAGTTAGGCACGGGGCGGGGGTGCCTAACCTGCGGAGTTTGAGATCTCACCGGAAGTTGCTGAACCACTTGACGAGCTGGGCCGTGTTGTTCTTGTTGAAGTTGATGTCGGGGAAGTACGATTTGAGGATGGACGAGCTCGGGTAGCGTGACCAGAAGAACATCAGCTTGGCCTTCCGCAGGTGCATCGGCGTCAGCGTCGACGAGTGCTCCGAGGCGAGCGACAGGCCCGAGCGAGCTGTGGAAGGAAGGGCAGGGGTTGACGTCAAACGACAAATCATTGACAGAGACACGGTGTGGCTGGAGGGGAGGGGGTATTAATGAATCAGCGTCTATCGCTGGCAACACCTCACATTTGGTAATTCATTGTAAAGTTTCTTTTCTTAATTATCTAATAAAACAATAAGATAAAAACAAGCATGGCAGTGCGAAAAACGTGCGTTGTTTCGAGGTCATACGCCGCCCCACATGCTAGGATGACTCGGTCAAACAAATCAAACGCGATCGATCGCCGGCCGCCAGCCGTAACTGGGCCACCGGACGCTGTGCTTACCGTCAATGCGGCTGGAGAATGCCGCCAGCGACGACCGCTGTCCGTCGTAGCCGCTCTCGAGCGAGTTGCAGTCGGAGCGGTCTGGCGTATCACGTCTGTAGCCGAGACTGTCTGAGGGTGAGCGGCGGCCTCCGGCCAGCAGCGCCGGATGCAGCAGGCCCGGGCTGGGCGAGCCGCGCCGCTCACCGCTCGTGGGCCGCTGGTAGTGCGGATAGCCGGCAAAGAAGTGCGACTCCTGCAGGCTCGGGTTGGGGATGGCCACCGAGGTGGGCAGCGAGCTGGGTAGTAGGTGCGGCGGCGGCGGCGGCACAGACCCGAACGGGTGACCGGGCGGAGACTCGGGGCGGCCGTCGTCCAGCCGGCCTCCCGGACGGCCCGCCGCCCGCGTGTCCGTCACCTTATGACGCTTCTTCTTGGGTGTCATCACCAGGCTGAGAGGACCCTCGTCAGCCTCCTGCTGCTGCTGCTCCTGTTGCTGTTGCTGTTGCTGTTGCTGTTGCTGTTGTTGCATCGACTCCCTGAGCGCCTGGAGGCTGTAGGGCAGCGCGCCAGCCCCGCTGTACACTGGACTCCCCAGACCCCCTCCCAGTCCAGCAGGTCTGGAGCTCGGGAACAGGGGAGGCATGGTCGCTGGCGGCCGCAGACCACCTAGACCCGACAGACCAAACGGAGACAGACCATCGGGCGCACCGAACGGCGGTGACAGGCCGGGGAAGCGACCGCCGTGCATGCGCCGGAGGATCTCAGCGCGAGGCGAGCGTCGCTCCACGGGCGGCTCAGCCTCCTTCTTCCTCTGCTGAGCCCACTTGGAGACGATGGAGTCGATCAGGCCGGCTAGAGACTGGGTGAGCTCCACCTTGAGCGCGTCAGCGAGTCCCTCGACGTCGGGCGCCGCGGCGGCGCGCAGCAGACGACCCGGCAGCGGCTCGGAGCGGCGCTCGTTCTCCTTATTCCGTGGGTCGGCAGCCAGCACGCGGCGCGCATAGTCAAGGAAGCTACCGGCGGCCGCCTGTTCTGCCTCGATCTTATGCAGGGCCGGAACGGGACGCGTGGCGGCGTCATCGCGTGCCTTCTCGGGCGAGGGCTGCGGCGGCCGGCGTGACAAGTCCAGCTCTGCGCCAGGTTCCGGACGACGCTCCCCGTCACCACCCCCGCGGTACAGCTGGGCGTATCTCTCCTGCATCATCTCCAGCTGGCTCTGCACCGACTTCAGCTGGCTCTGGATCACGTCCTCCGACTCGGGCCGGTGACGTTTATCGGTAGGTGCCTCAGTGTCGGCGTCATCCTCGCTGCCATCGGCGCCGTCGGTGCCACCGTCACCCCGCGGACCCGTCTCATGCTGCACCGGCTGGTAGAGCTTCCTCTTCTTGCAGCCGTTGATGGGGGTGGGTGAACCCGCGCCGGGACGCATCCCTGAGACGATGCTCTCCAGACGGGACTTTTTCTCAGACTCGGCCGGCGAGGCGGGCGGCGAGTCGAGCAGCTCGTCGTGCTCTGTCTCTTCGTCTCCCTCCTCGTGTTCGTCGGGATCGTCGTCGGGCGGCTGCTGGCTGCTGTCGGCCTGCACCTCCGCCGACGGCTCGGCCGGAGAGCGCCGGCGCGGCTCGAGCTCGGGCGGCGGCGCGCCGACTGCGCCGCGCGCCAGGATGTCGCGCAGCAGCACGTTGTTGACGCCGGGCGCTCCGGCGAGTCGCTCCACCTGACTGACGCCCATCCCGGCGGCACAGTGAGCGCCCGCGGCCGCCAGCACTCCCGGAGACATCCAGCACACGGGACTGAAGGGCGCCACCGCACTGCCGCAGCCCGGGAACCACGGGCGCAGAGGAGAGAATGCAGCCACAGGCACCGGCAGGGGACCCCTCACCTCACCGGCGTCCACGCGCTGTCTGACGCGGCCGCGGCCCGACGGACACTTTTCTCCGAGCGCCGCGGCCGTCTCCTCCTCGGACGGTGACATCATCGCAGCGCGGCCCGTGATTGGCCAAGGCCGCCGCCCGCTCCTTCAGGCAGCCAGTGAGCGCGCTCGGGGGCGGGGCTAGTCTGCCGGCTGGAAGAAACAAAGAGTGAACGTGCGCTCGGCTGCGGCTGCCACCTGCCGCCCCGGCCGTCTGGTCACCTGGACTGGCGGCGCGTGCCACAAATCGATACACACACATACCCCTCCCCTCCCCGCCCCTCGCCGGCGGGACCAGCGGTAATTTATGCTAATGAGCGGTGCGGTCAAAGATCTCTGCGCTGACTGCGGGCAAGGAGGCGATAGTCGTTGACAGCTCGACACCATTTCACTGGAGTGAGTGAGTGACATAACTGTATATGACCCAGTTGCCCCCCTATCCCTCATGGGACCGGCACGGGGAGTCGACTGCGTTGGAGGCTGGGCGATGCCGCTGGGACCCGTTCCCATTTCGCAGCGTGGCATTTGTGGGTAGCCGCTGAGGTGGGGCAGTTATTAGCGGCTGAGCGCAATGATGGGTTGTTGGCCCAGCCAGGACGGCGTCAGTGTGTGCCGTTCGCCCAATTTCATACCACACCAAATGGGATCTGAGAAGATCATTTCGTCGATGAGAAACTGGATTGAATTGCCTTCGGCATAGACTTCGAAATTCATAGGGACGGCCGACAGGTACCTACCGATGGAACAGCCAAAACTCCTGAACTTACGCTTTTCGGTTCGGTGGTGTCACGTGGGTTACGAGTAACTTCCGTGACGTTACATGATTGCTTTACTCTGCTGAGGTCGGGCTAATTCATCTCTTTGACTGACTGGTGTGCTTCAGGTGAACTATGATGCAATCGTAATGTATTTGTCTTTAGAAATGGTAAAACATTCGGTAGGATAATCTCTCTGGCCCAGTTCGATCTCTGTTGGCTGATTTTTCGGCCCAGCACTCGCATCTCTCGTTTTCTCTTCCTGCCCGCGGCGGGTTCACGGGGCGCCGCCCCCGCCCCCGCCCTGGCCGCCGCCGCCGCCCTGGCCGCCGCCCTGCCGCAGGCGTGTCGCCGTGGGCGGACAGGGACACTCCCAGGTCACAGTTTCCGGCCGCCCGGGGAAAGGGGAGGGGCGGGGGAGCGGCGGACGTCCGGCCGCCACGCGCCGCCACCCAGGCCGGGCTTCTGCGCCGCCGGGGTCGCGCGGTTACGGCGGACGGCGGACACCCAAGACCGAGCGAGCCGTGGCGACGCGGCGGTCGTGTATTTACAACATTATCACAGGTCGGAAGTCGCAACTTGAGTTGAGAGGTCACGACAAAGCTCAGCAAAAGCATGGATCTAAAGTAATGATAATAATAATAATTATTATTATTATATAATGATAAATAGTTTATAAAAAAGTCGTAACCGGCCACCGGGTAGGAAGTGTTCAGGGGGTTCTGCTATTTTGCCGACCATGCTATTGGTTCTGTTGAGATATTATGCAATATCCTGCCTCTGGTGACATTTAGAACGAGAATCCCATCCCACCAGCTCATAAATGAGTTGCCTTGCGACAACCAGCCGACGCGATGGCTCGGCCGCCGTACCCCAGTTGCCGGGGAAGGCTCGACAGTTTAGGCTTGGGGAGGGGAGAGGCTGACGGTGATCGGACGGGCACTGCGCCGTGGCTGTCACTCGATCGGGGCTGATCTGATCTGATCTATGGCGTCACTCCACCCCAGGCCTCACTAGTGGTGTCAATCGGTTACCGAAAATTTCGGTTACCGAAAAGATATGCTGACCGATTTGGTAATCGGTCGGTCAGGCCCCCCAAAAATCGGACACTTTCGGTCACCCTGCCAGTGAAACCATTTTCAAAAAGAGAAAGTATTCCATTTTTGCCTAGTTAAAATGAAATTTATTGGGATGTTAATGATAGAGTTGCAAAATTTCCCCCAAATGCCAAATGCCACATTTTGGCAACCTCATTAGCCAACCCACCCAGCAGGCAGCAGCCACCCATTGTCCAACCACAACGACAAGCAGGCTGATTTTGACTCAGTTGGCCCCACAAGTACACACAATTTTGAAACTCTATTCCAGTCTAACTGTTAAAATTTCACCTGTAATCAAAGAAGTATTGCCTACAAAAATCATTATACAGTCATCAAAAATGCAAGGACAAAAATACCTTGAATTGGAATTACTGAAATGTGTTTCTGAAGACTGGACAGTTAGCACTTAGCACTTAGCAGTGATCACATTTACATTTCACAGGTGTTCTACTATCCCACATTCTCCTTAAATATTGCAGGTACCAACCAAATGTTTGAAATCTAGATGACCACAACATAAAAACATAGGAATCTTGACAAAAACTACATCGGCCCATGTCCGATTTCTGGAATCTTCCACATTCCAAACACAAGGAAGGATTTCGAAACAGATGCGCCATAACAGAGACTTTAAACCAGCTGATAAAGTTGCTGCAAAAAAAGTTTTGGGATGTTACATGCTGCCTCGTGAATTATTTTATTGATGTAAATGATCCAACACGATATTGAATTCTAATGAAATCAACATTGTAATGTAATTCACTACAAGAAAATTAATTTCCCTTCAATAATTCGACCAAAAGGGCATATAAATAAATATTACGTCATCAACATACATACATCCTTTCGTTACGGAAGAGAGGATCTTAAAAGTCAATCCTTGGTTCTTCTATTACTTTTTGCGCCACTTTGGCGCCACTTTGTAGGTATTAATTTTGTCTGCGTATTTTGTTTTCTTGTAAAGATAAGACAAACAAGAGATAAGACAAAGTGCCTGTGTAATGAATTTTCATTTCATTTTTGGGACAAAATTCAAGCTCAGAGCTACCTAATAGCTGCCTTTTCAGCTGGATTTTCAGTGTCAAATTATTTGTAGAGTATCTCAGACCAAATCTCAAGACTCAAGGCAAGTTTCCAAGCAGTTTTGATGTGTTTTGTGGTGTTTTGATTCCGCCTTTTCTCCTAGGGAATGTTGTCATGAACATACCTATTACCAACCATTTGACTATACTAATTGATCGTGCTTTTGCAACATGAATGAGCATTCTTCCCTACATAGACCACAGTAGATTCTTGACAATTCTTATCAACTAAATCTGTGAAATGCTGAGGTCCATGTGTTGCTATACCCTCAGCAATGTAACTTCTATCACAATATGTATTTTGCAGTGGCTAAGAATTGACTGAACTTGGACTGAAATGCCATTTCCCATTATTTTCCATCAGAATTTACCAAATATTTTAATTTTGGGGTAGAGTAATAGCAAATAGAAGTTCGGTCAAATTTCGGTCAAATTTTGGCTTGGGATGTAATCGGTCGGTATTCGGTCGGAATTTTTTCCCAAATTTTGGTTTCGGTCGGTATCGGTCAGACATTTTTTGGAAAATGACATCACTAGGCCTCACCCTGACGCGGCTCTCCCCCCACTGTCATGCTCAGGGCCAGACAGACTGGTGCCGTGATGCATCTCGGAGCAAAGGGAAGTCGATCAAAATAACGCCATTTTTCGTATTTTGATACGGATTCGACACGGCTTGTCGAATAATTAAAATTAATATACCGTTTTTACTGAAAATAATTACTCGCCAAGATTGGCATCTACGGTGGTCGCATCTGCGAGGCTTCCAGGCTATGCGAACAGGATCGGTGGGAAGAAAAATTCGCCATTTGAAGACAGACATTCGCTGCATTTTTGACATCAAATCTGTCCAATAGAGGCGCTGCTCGTTTAATTTCTGAGCTGAGGCTCGGTCGTCCTATTGTGCCCCCTGTTACTGCTCTGGCCGAAGGGTCACCTCTGACCCGGCCGTGGCTCCGCTGACGGCCTCTCGCCCGAGGCGCCGCGCCGCGCCGCAGCACGTCACGTGCGCACTGATTGACGCCGGCGTCACCGTGCCGCGTCAAAACCGTCGCCGCGGCGCCGCGCTGCGTGCCTAAGGTGACAGCTGTGATACGTGTCACCGCGGAGCCCAGGGCACGTTCGATTACTCAGAACGACGATCATTTGATAGGTAGGGGCAAATGTAACTAGGCACTGAACTTATAAGTATAGCACAACCATAAGTTTGTAGAGACTAGTAAGTCGTAGTGAAAGTAGTATAAGTCTTAAGTAAGTTACGTTATTTTTAGTGTTTTGCATTTTTTGGCTCTTGCTTTCAGAAAATACACAAAATAAAAAGATTGACCGAGAAAGGGTTGTAGCATGATCACCCTATTCCCTTCAGCTCCTCCCGGTTCCCCGCTAACCTGAGACGCCTAAAGTCGCACCGAAGTCGCTTATTATTCAAGTGCTCCACGACAGACTTGTCTGGGCTATCAGCGCACTTGAAGAAGTAAAAATGCTCCGGTAGCTTCTGCGATCAGAAGCGGAGCACAAAACAGCTGCAATGTGACGCAATGTCAATGTCTATCTGACGAAGTTACCGTTTGCTTTGGCGTATAAACGTATCCAGTTGCGAAATGTCGTTTTGTGGTTGCACCATTTCTATAACCGTCTCGTCAGCTGCCAACTCTATTGCATGCCAGTCGTGGCTACAGACGTAACGTTAAGACGCACATCTCGCGACCTTTGTCGCCCGTGAAATGATGAGGCAGATTACAGAACCCGGGTAATGCTAGCGACGAAGGTTCAGGCGCCTGAGGTCCGTACGTGGAACATGGCGCCGTTGAAACTCAGGGATCGGAGCGGGATGTCGACTGCGTTTCATGCATGGATGGCGTGTCAAATGCCAAAGCATTCTTAGGACTATTGCGATTTGACAGCTATTTTTGGGTAATCTGCTAATTTGTACCTACTGATGTTAGAAGTTATTCCCTTGTTGAATGGCGGATGTTTATTGTCCATTTCCATACTTACTTATTCCCATCCCGTTTAGAAGTTTCCATATGACGTAAAGTATGTTTGTATACCATACATGTTATCTTGTATCTCTAGAAATCTGCTAATGATGAAAATCGTTGAAGAATGCCACTGGAGCGTCTCATATATGCAAAATTGCATATACG